AAATCCACGCCTTATCAGAGCCTTGAAAAAATATTCTTTAAAAAATCCACGCCTTATCAGAGCCTTGAAAAAATATTCTTTAAAAAATCCACGCCTTATCAGAGCCTTGAAAAAATATTCTTTAAAAAATCCACGCCTTGGTCCTTGAAAAAAATATTCTTTAAAAAATCCACGTCTTGTTTGAGGCCTTGAAAAAATATTCTTTAAAAAATCCACGCCTTATCAGAGCCTTGAAAAAATATTCTTTAAAAAATCCACGCCTTATCAGAGCCTTGAAAAATATTCTTTAAAAAATCCACGCCTTGTTGGAGTCCTTGAAAAAATATTCTTTAAAAAATCCACGCCTTGTTGGAGTCCTTGAAAAAATATTCTTTAAAAAATCCACGCCTTATCAGAGCCTTGAAAAAATATTCTTTAAAAAATCCACGCCTTATCAGAGCCTTGAAAAATATTCTTTAAAAAATCCACGCCTTGTGTTGGTCCTTGAAAAAAAAATTTTTAAAAAATCCATTCCTTGTGGTGATCCTTGAAAAAATATTCTTTAAAAAAACCACGCCTTATCAGAGCCTTGAAAAATATTCTTTAAAAAATCCACGCCTTATCAGAGCCTTGAAAAATATTCTTTAAAAAATCCACGCCTTATCAGAGCCTTGAAAAAATGTTTTTTAAATATTAGGCCCCAAATGTTAGGGCCTCTATTCTAATAGTTTTCGTTACTATGTTTTTTTATGGTGGTATGTGTGTGCGCAATGAGTTTCCCATTGTTGTTGCAAATGCAGTAAATTAGGTGTGGTGTTCTGCGAGAATAGTTGCAATTGTTTATAAGGCACAAGGGTCCTTGTGTGTGCGTTGTGTTGTATTAGGTGTAGTTACATTCGATGGATGACATTGTAGTTGTGTGTGTGTGTGTGACACACACGCAGACACACAAATATACATATACACAAGGTGCAGTTCGTTTTGAGGAGGATGGGTAGCGCTGGGCAGGGCAGGATATAATGATTGTATTTTTCAAGTGGAGTCCTTCATAAGGGATTTCCAGGAGGTAGCTATAAGGGAGAGGTTAACAATAGGGAGGCCATATTCTGATAACGATGACTCCTCAATATTTTCTTAGCATTATTAATTTTTGTAATTGTTCCTTCCATGATCATACCACCCTCGTGCCCTGCCTGCATTCATTCAATGCCATAATCAGTTAGGCTTAGTGTACCATTAAAAAAAGAACAAAACAAACAACAACAAATGCAACAATGCCAACTAAAAAACAGTTTATGCCACCATAATTTATTCCCCATTTACACAACATTTTTATTTGTTGCTGCACTCGGTGGCACTCGCTGGCTCACTCGCAAGCTCACATAATGGCCCAAAATGTCAGCTTCAATAAACAATAGCAGCAGCAACAACAACTATTAAACGGAGGCAAACTAAAATCAACTACCAGAGTCATGCAGTTGCAAAAAACAATAAAGCTTTCAAAAACAACAACAACATGAAAAAACGTTAAATGGAAATGTTGACAATTTAAATTTGTTGTTGGCCACCATTTAGTGCTCTGAATGGGTCGACAAACAAAAACAACAAAAATGGAAGGATTTTTTTAAATTAAATAATATTTTGTTTAAAAAAATTTGGCGTGAATTTTTTAAAAATATTTTTTCTGGAATTCATACAAGGCGTGGATTTTAAAAGAATATTTTTTAGGGTCTCAACAAGGCGTGGATTTTTAAAAAAATATTTTTTAGGGTTTCAGCAAGGCGTGGATTTTTAAAAAATATTTTTTAGGGTCTCAACAAGGCGTGGATTTTTAAAAAAATATTTTTTAGGGTCTCAACAAGGCTTGGATTTTAAAAAAAATATTTTTTAGGGTCTCAACAAGGCGTGGATTTTTTAAAAGAATATTTTTTAGGGTCTCAACAAGGCGTGGATTTTTTAAAAGAATATTTTTTAGGGTCTCAACAAGGCGTGGATTTTTTAAAAGATTCTTTTTCAGGGACCCAAGGCGTGGATTTTTTAAAAGAATATTTTTTAGGGTCTCAACAAGGCGTGGATTTTTTAAAAGAATATTTTTTAGGGTCTCAACAAGGCGTGGATTTTTTAAAAGAATATTTTTTAGGGTCTCAACAAGGCGTGGATTTTTTAAAAGAATATTTTTTAGGGTCTCAACAAGGCGTGGATTTTTTAAAAGAATATTTTTTAGGGTCTCAACAAGGCGTGGATTTTTTAAAAGAATATTTTTTAGGGTCTCAACAAGGCGTGGATTTTTTAAAAGAATATTTTTTAGGGTCTCAACAAGGCGTGGATTTTTTAAAAGAATATTTTTTAGGGTCTCAACAAGGCGTGGATTTTTTAAAAGAATATTTTTTAGGGTCTCAACAAGGCGTGGATTTTTTAAAAGAATATTTTTTAGGGTCTCAACAAGGCGTGGATTTTTTAAAAGAATATTTTTTAGGGTCTCAACAAGGCGTGGATTTTTTAAAAGAATATTTTTTAGGGTCTCAACAAGGCGTGGATTTTTTAAAAGAATATTTTCTAGGGTCTCAACAAGGCGTGGATTTTTTAAAAGAATATTTTCTAGGGTCTCAACAAGGCGTGGATTTTTTAAAAGAATATTTTCTAGGGTCTCAACAAGGCGTGGATTTTTTAAAAGAATATTTTCTAGGGTCTCAACAAGGCGTGGATTTTTTAAAAGAATATTTTCTAGGGTCTCAACAAGGCGTGGATTTTTTAAAAGAATATTTTCTAGGGTCTCAACAAGGCGTGGATTTTTTAAAAGAATATTTTCTAGGGTCTCAACAAGGCGTGGATTTTTTAAAAGAATATTTTCTAGGGTCTCAACAAGGCGTGGATTTTTTAAAAGAATATTTTCTAGGGTCTCAACAAGGCGTGGATTTTTTAAAAGAATATTTTCTAGGGTCTCAACAAGGCGTGGATTTTTTAAAAGAATATTTTCTAGGGTCTCAACAAGGCGTGGATTTTTTAAAAGAATATTTTCTAGGGTCTCAACAAGGCGTGGATTTTTTAAAAGAATATTTTCTAGGGTCTCAACAAGGCGTGGATTTTTTAAAAGAATATTTTCTAGGGTCTCAACAAGGCGTGGATTTTTTAAAAGAATATTTTCTAGGGTCTCAACAAGGCGTGGATTTTTTAAAAGAATATTTTTTAAAGATTCGTTTTTCAGGGTCTCAACAAGGCGTGGATTTTTTAAAAGAATATTTTTTAAAGATTCGTTTTTCAGGGTCTCAACAAGGCGTGGATTTTTTAAAAGAATATTTTTTAAAGATTCGTTTTTCAGGGTCTCAACAAGGCGTGGATTTTTTAAAAGAATATTTTTTAAAGATTCGTTTTTCAGGGTCTCAACAAGGCGTGGATTTTTTAAAAGAATATTTTTTAAAGATTCGTTTTTCAGGGTCTCAACAAGGCGTGGATTTTTTAAAAGAATATTTTTTAAAGATTCGTTTTTCAGGGTCTCAACAAGGCGTGGATTTTTTAAAAGAATATTTTTTAAAGATTCGTTTTTCAGGGTCTCAACAAGGCGTGGATTTTTTAAAAGAATATGTTTTAAAGATTCGTTTTTCGGGGTCTCAACAATGCGTGGATTTTTTAAAAAAATATTTTTTAAAGATTCGTTTTTCAGGGTCTCAACAAGGCGTGGATTTTTTAAAAGAATATTTTTTAAAGATTCGTTTTTCAGGGTCTCAACAAGGCGTGGATTTTTTAAAAGAATATTTTTTAAAGATTCGTTTTTCACTCAACAAGGCGTGGATTTTTTAAAAGAATATTTTTTAAAGATTTTTTTCAGGGTCTCAACAAGGCGTGGATTTTTTAAAGAACTTTTTTTCAGGGTCTCAACAAGGCGTGGATTTTTTAAAGAATATTTTTTCAGGGTCTCAATGGATTTTTTAAAGAATATTTTTTAGGGTCTCAACAAGGCGTGGATTTTTTAAAAGAATATTTTTTAGGGTCTCAACAAGGCGTGGATTTTTTAAAAGAATATTTTTTAGGGTCTCAACAAGGCGTGGATTTTTTAAAAGAATATTTTTTAGGGTCTCAACAAGGCGTGGATTTTTTAAAAGAATATTTTTTAGGGTCTCAACAAGGCGTGGATTTTTTAAAAGAATATTTTTTAGGGTCTCAACAAGGCGTGGATTTTTTAAAAGAATATTTTTTAGGGTCTCAACAAGGCGTGGATTTTTTAAAAGAATATTTTTTAGGGTCTCAACAAGGCGTGGATTTTTTAAAAGTTTATTTTTTAGGTTCTCAACAAGGCGTGGATTTTTAAAAGATTCTTTTTTTGGGTCTAAAAAAGGCTTGGATGTCTTAAAAGATTATTTTTTAGGGGCTCAACAAGGCGTGGATTTTTTAAAAGAATAATTTTTTAAAAGAATAATTTTTATGGTCTCAACAAGGCGTGGATTTTTAAAAGAATATTTTTTAAGGTCTCAATAAGGCATGGATTTTTTAAAAGAATATTTTTTATGGTCTCAACAAGGCGTGGATTTTTTAAAATAATATTTTTTCAAGGACTACTTTTAAATTAAGTTGTTAATATTTTAAGTAAAATGCCTCCGACGCTAACTAACTGCAACTTCCATCTTACCTTCCCATCAGTGACCCCACCCAATATGCCTCCATTCTTAACCTTAATTATTTTCCCTTTAAAAAATATATTCCATTAATGATGTTGATTTTATTATAATTGAATTCTTTATTCATTTTTTTCTCCTTCTTCTTTTTCATTTCAGATCCTTGTGAACACACACTACAACAACGACAACAACAATAAAAAAATGTTGGATTTTTGGCTATAACAGTGTCATGTTGCCATGACCTTCCGAGTCAAGGAGGAATAGCAACAGTGTAATTTGTAAATACTTACTACAACAGCAACAACAACAACTACAATTCTACAACAACAACTGCAACTAATAACAACGAGTAGTCTCTTCCATTTACCCTGAAAAAAAACGAAGCCAATCCCAAAAAACGAACAAAATCAACCTCCCACACACACACCAACACAACAAAACTAAAATGGCATTCAGTTACGCCTGCCTTACACTACAACGTGTAGTTCTACCAATTGTTTTGGTATTAGGTAAGTGCGGACCCTTAATTTTAGGAATCAAAAAATTATGATATATATTTTCAAGGCCCATTTTTTTTAAAGCATATTTCTTCAAGGCTCTGATAAGGCGTGAACTTTTTTAAAGAATATTTTTGGATTTTTAAAAGATTAGTTTTTCAGGGTCTCAACAAGGCGTGGATTTTTTAAAGATTACTTTTTCAGGGTCTCAACAAGGCGTGGATTTTTTAAAGATTACTTTTTCAGGGTCTCAACAAGGCGTGGATTTTTTAAAGATTAGTTTTTCAGGGTCTCAACAAGGCGTGGATTTTTTAAAGATTAGTTTTTCAGGGTCTCAACAAGGCGTGGATTTTTTAAAGATTAGTTTTTCAGGGTCTCAACAAGGCGTGGATTTTTTAAAGATTAGTTTTTCAGGGTCTCAACAAGGCGTGGATTTTTTAAAGATTAGTTTTTCAGGGTCTCAACAAGGCGTGGATTTTTTAAAGATTAGTTTTTCAGGGTCTCAACAAGGCGTGGATTTTTTAAAGATTAGTTTTTCAGGGTCTCAACAAGGCGTGGATTTTTTAAAGATTAGTTTTTCAGGGTCTCAACAAGGCGTGGATTTTTTAAAGATTAGTTTTTCAGGGTCTCAACAAGGCGTGGATTTTTTAAAGAATTTTTTTCAGGGTCTCAACAAGGCGTGGATTTTTTAAAGATTAGTTTTTCAGGGTCTCAACAAGGCGTGGATTTTTTAAAGATTAGTTTTTCAGGGTCTCAACAAGGCGTGGATTTTTTAAAGATTAGTTTTTCAGGGTCTCAACAAGGCGTGGATTTTTTAAAGATTAGTTTTTCAGGGTCTCAACAAGGCGTGGATTTTTTAAAGAATTTTTTTCAGGGTCTCAACAAGGCGTGGATTTTTTAAAGAACTTTTTTCAGGGTCTCAACAAGGCGTGGATTTTTTAAAGAATATTTTTTCAGGGTCTCAACAAGGCGTGGATTTTTTAAAGAATATTTTTTCAGGGTCTCAACAAGGCGTGGATTTTTTAAAGAATATTTTTTCAGGGTCTCAACAAGGCGTGGATTTTTTAAAGATTAGTTTTTCAGGGTCTCAACAAGGCGTGGATTTTTTAAAGATTAGTTTTTCAGGGTCTCAACAAGGCGTGGATTTTTTAAAGATTAGTTTTTCAGGGTCTCAACAAGGTGTGGATTTTTTTAAGATTAGTTTTTCAGGGTCTCAACAAGGTGTGGATTTTTTTAAGATTAGTTTTTCAGGGTCTCAACATGGCGTGGATTTTTTTAAGATTAGTTTTTCAGAGTCTCAACAAGGTGGGGATTTTTTTAAGATTAGTTTTTCAGGGTCTCAACAAGGTGGGGATTTTTTTTAAGATTAGTTTTTCAGGGTCTCAACAAGGCGTGTTAATGGTTAGTTTTTCAAGGCTCAGGTCAACCTTTTTAAGGAATAGTTTTTCAAGGCTCAATTCAGGCGTGGATTTTTTAAAGACTGGTTTTTCAAGGCTCAATTCAGGCGTGGATTTTTTAAAGACTGGTTTTTCAAGGCTCAATTCAGGCGTGGATTTTTTAAAGACTGGTTTTTCAAGGCTCAATTCAGGCGTGGATTTTTTAAAGACTGGTTTTTCAAGGCTCAATTCAGGCGTGGATTTTTTAAAGACTGGTTTTTTAAGGCTCAATTCAGGCGTGGATTTTTTAAAGATGGTTTTTCAAGGCTCAATTCAGGCGTGGATTTTTTAAAGACTGGTTTTTCAAGGCTCAATTCAGGCGTGTATTTTTTAAAGACTGGTTTTTCAAGGCTCAATTCAGGCGTGGATTTTTTAAAGACTGGTTTTTCAAGGCTCAATTCAGGCGTGGATTTTTTAAAGACTGGTTTTTCAAGGCTCAATTCAGGCGTGGATTTTTTAAAGACTGGTTTTTCAAGGCTCAATTCAGGCGTGGATTTTTTAAAGACTGGTTTTTCAAGGCTCAATTCAGGCGTGGATTTTTTAAAGACTGGTTTTTCAAGGCTCAATTCAGGCGTGGATTTTTTAAAGACTGGTTTTTCAAGGCTCAATTCAGGCGTGGATTTTTTAAAGACTGGTTTTTCAAGGCTCAGATCATGTTTGGATTTTTTTTTAATAATATTTCAAGGACCAAATAGGATCGATAAGATATTATCCTAAATATGTTTTATAAATATCTAATAATACATTTCCATTCTTCTCCTCCCTCCAGCTGCACTATATCGTCCTGTTGGTATATCATTCGTATACCTGTTAATGTTCTTTATTTCACCGTTTATACCGGTGGCCACCAAACAGAATTTCAAAGGTTCTGTCACAGCCTATCTGATAATTTTATTAGCGTTAAGTACAATACTCCTACTATGTCACATCGGACTACAAGTTTCGATATTGGCGCTGGACATCGGTGATATGTTCGGTACGTGTACCTTTACCGAACGACTACTAAGGCACATTGGATTTATTGGTTTTCGACAATTGAAGTGAGTAGGGAACCGCAGGTACATATTTGTGAAATCCTTTAATAACCTCCATCTCTCTCTTCCTGCCTTTTTCAGAGCCTTTGCCATTGTTGAATGGCTGGCGCCAGAAGTGGTGGTCTTCATCACCTCCCTGGTCGTGTATATAATCTCCAAAAAGATAACCCAAACTGTTGAGCCCCAACTGGAAACAGGTGATGCGGAGGCGATACGTGAAAATGGTGGTGGTGGCGGTGCGGGTACCAGTGCTGGCAGTGAAAATCCCAATGAGGAAATTCTAAATGCCATTGTCGAAGATGCACAAAGACAAAAACATGTTGTGGTTGCCTCATCCTCCGCCTCGGCTGCTGCAACAGTCGATGATAATACTAAGCCAAATTTCGATGGACTGATAAAAATATGTAAGTATGTGGAGGCACACACCTCTCTCACTTGTGGTCATGGTCATTTGCATTTTGTGTAACTACCACATCCTGCCGGAGCATTAAATTTCAAAATCTCTTTCTTTTTTCCGTTACAGCCCCCCTTTTCTGTTTGGCGACCCTATTCTTTTCGGCCGTTCTCCGACCAAGTGTACCAGGTGGTTTTTATTTTTCAATATTCCTGCTATCGGGTTTATATTGGGCAACGTTCCAATCATTGCAAAGGTAAGTTTTGATATCCAGAAAAAAATTACCAAAAAATAGCCTCAAAAACATAACCTCCATCATCCCCTCGACATACACAAACACACACACACATTTTGCAAAGCCAAGACAATATCCGTTTGTGTGAGTGTATAACGGATTCGAGTTCAACAACAACAGCAAACAAAATTCAATTTATGTTAACAAAAATAACAACAAAGGAGGAGGCCAAATATACTCCAAAGCAATTTGTAGGCAAAAAAGTCCAGGTATTTTTGTTCTCTAGACGTCGACCTCATAGAGTAGAGGGCCGTATGGATATTGGAGTATTCTCTATACAAATGGTGCTTTTTTTAAGAATATTTTTAGAGAACTTATAAAGGGGTAGACTTATTACGAATATGCTTCAAAATCTAATATTCTTATAGTCAAGTTCCAAATAACCATGACATTTTTAAGAATATTTTTTAGGCCCTATTATGGGTGATGTTTTTCAAGATTATTTTTTTCGAAGCCCAAAAAGCAGTGGAGTTTTTTCAGATTTTTTTCAAGTCCCAAAGTCGTAGATTTTTCTACGAATATTATTTAAAACACCATGGAGGCTTGGAGTTTTTTAAGAACATTTTAAAAGACCCAAATAGTAGTGGAGTTTTTAAGAAAATTTTCTTTAAGGCCCCTAAATAGGCACAGAGATTTTTTTAAGAATAGAGGTTAAGGTCCAAATAGCTGTGGAGTTTTTATACCCTTCACCACACTCTGTGGTACAGGGTATTATGTCTTTGTGCATATGTTTGTAACAGGCAAAAGGAAAGGAGATAGACACACGGTTCCTTTTGAGAATATGTACAGAATCACTTTTTGAACCGATTTATGCATGTCCGTCCGTTCGTCTGTCAATGTTAAATTGTAAACAAAGTACAGGTCGCATTTATGATCCGAATTAGATGAAATTTGGCACAGCTCATCTATTTGGCCCAAGGACGAACCGTATAGATATTGGGAAAAATCGATTCAGATTTAGATATAGCTCCCATATATATATTCGTCCGATTTAATGTAAATGGTTCACCAAAGACACTATATATCTTTCGATTTGCACGAAATTTGGCATAGCTTATTAAATTAAGTCTAGATTGATGGGTGTAAAGTTTCTTGAAAATAGGTACAGATTTATAAATAGCTCCCATATATATTTTCGTCCGATTTTATATAAATGATGCATCAAAGCTCCTATATATCTTTCGATTTGCACGAAATTTCGCATAGCGTACTAAATTAAGTCTAGAATGATGAGTGTTAAGTTTCGTGAAAATCGCTTGAGAATTAGATATAGCTCCCATATATATTTTCGTCCGATTTAAGGTAAATGGTGCAACAAAGTCCTTATATATCTTTTGAAATTCGGGATAGCATACCAAATTAAGTCTTGAATTATGTATGTAAAGTTTCGTGGAAATCTGTTCAGAATTAGATATAGCTCCCATATATATTTTCGTCCGATTTAAGGTAAATGGTGCACCAAAGTCCCTATATATCTTTCGATTTGCACGAAAATTGACATAGCGTACTGAACAGAGTCTAGAATGATATGTGTTAAGTTTCGTGAAAATCGTTTCAGAATTAGATATAGTTCCCATATATTTTTTTTGTCCGATTTAATGTAAATGGTGCATCAAGGCCCCTATATATCTTTCGATTTGCACGAAATTTGGCATAGCGTACTGAATTGAGTTTAGAATGATGTGTGTTAAGTTTCGTGAAAATCGGTTCAGTTTTAGATATAGGTCCCATATATATTTTCGTCCGATTTGATGTAAATATATATCTTTCTATTTGCACGAAATTTCGCATAACGTACTGAATTAAGTCCAGAGTTATGTGTGTAAATTTTCATAAAAATCGGTACAGATTTAGATATAGCTCCTATGTATATTTTCGGCCGATTTAAGGTAAATGGTGCACCAAAATCCTTATATATCTATCGATTTGCACGAAATTTCGCACAGCGTACTATATTAAGTCTAGAATGATATGTGTTAAGTTTCGTGGAAATCGGTTCAGAATTAGATATAGTTTTTAAGGACCATTTTGTAAAATGCGTAGATTTTTTTAAGAAATATTTTTTTCGAATGCGTTGATTTTTTCGTGAAATATTTTTCAAGTTCTTTAAAGAAATATTTTTTTCAAAGACATTGATTATTTAAAGAAATATATATTTTTTTATATTTTTATATAATTTTTTTAAAGAATTTTTTTTTTCAAAGTTGTAGAAGACTTTTTTTGGAGCCTAGAGATACAAGGTTTATAGAGAGTTTGTCTAGCATGTCCATGCAATTTCTCACCTTGCATATAACCTACATCGTCTCTATTACCCTCCTTTAACTAACCCATTTCCCAATGTGTCACTGTGTCACTGATATTGGTGAATTTTTTTCTTATTTTTGGTACTGGTTTAATATTTTTTCCCCTTTCCCTCTCTCTCTCTCTCTCCATCTCTCTCCTACCACTCCCCCATTTGTTTATATTTACATCCATGTATTTTATACCATTATATTTATTTAATATACACATACACATAAATATATATATTTTTTTGGCTTCCGCTACCACATTTATTTTGTACACTTCCTCTTATTCTTATCCCTTTTCTTCTTCTATTTTTTTTTCTAGGAAATTTGCCATGTTATTACGTTTCGTTATGGTTGTCATTGTGGCCCATACCCTTTGTATTGTCGCCTATCAAACGCCATGGATGCAGGACCATTTGGACAAGACAAGTTTAACAGCCAGGTAAGAAACAGAAGTTGAACTCAATCTCATTTTTTTATTATTAATGATATGCCTCGAAGCGGACGAGATTTCGGTTGTTGGCCAAATCAGTAGAGTAACCGACATGACAGATTTAGATTCGGGGTGATTTATGGTGTACGTATGTGGTTATGTTCGGTTATTTATATAGGGACACGTTTAGGGGGAGCAATAAAAGGCGTGGATTTTTTAAAGAATATTTTTTAGGGTTCTACACAAGGCGTGAATTTTTAAAGAATATTTTTAGGGTCGAATACAAGGCGAGGATTTTTTAAAGAATATTTTTTAGACTCGAATACAAGGCGTGGATTTTTTAAAGAATATTTTTTAGGCTCGAATACAAGGCGTGGATTTTTTAAAGAATATTTTTTAGGCTCGAATACAAGGCGTGGATTTTTTAAAGAATCTTTTTTTGGGTCATTACAAGGCGTGGATTTTTTAAAGAATATTTTTTAGGGTCGAATACAAGGCGTGGGTTTTTTTTAAGAATATTTTTTAGGCTCGAATACAAGGCGTGGATTTTTTAAAGAATATTTTTTAGGCTCGAATACAAGGCGTGGATTTTTTAAAGAATATTTTTTAGGCTCGAATACAAGGCGTGGATTTTTTAAAGAATATTTTTTAGGCTCGAATACAAGGCGTGGATTTTTTAAAGAATATTTTTTAGGCTCGAATACAAGGCGTGGATTTTTTAAAGAATATTTTTTAGGCTCGAATACAAGGCGTGGATTTTTTAAAGAATATTTTTTAGGCTCGAATATTTATTAAGACGTGGATTTTTTAAAGAATATTTTTTAAGGCGTGGATTTTTTAAAGAATATTTTTTAAGGCGTGGATTTTTTAAAGAATATTTTTTAAGGCTTGGATTTTTTAAAGAATATTTTTTAAGGCGTGGATTTTTTAAAGAATATTTTTTAAGGCGTGGATTTTATTTTTTCTCTGTTTTCAGATTAATTGGTCTGGAACCTCTCATCACATCAACATGTGACAATGACATACGAATTGTTGTCTACAATACCGAATACAAGGCGGACTCATTTTTGAATCCAATTGTGTTATTCTTTACCTACTATGCGTTGGCCCTGACCACCAAGAATCTCATTAAAATTAGGGTAAGTTCTAAAAATCTTTACAAAGGCCTTCGAAATATAAAAAAATTAAAAAAAATTAAAATCTTTTCCAAAAATTGAAAAGATTCTTTTTTAATTGAAAATTGTATTTTCTTATAAATAATAATCATAAACAATTTCCTCCTTTTTCTAACCAGAAGTGTCTAAAAATTATAAAAAATTGTAATTTACAGCAAAAAATTTTCCTGAAATGACTAACAATGACTTTTTTTAAAAAATCATTTATCTTCTCTTCTTCTATTCCACTTTTTTTCCTTCTAAATTAATTTTCCTAAAAAAATTAAATTTAAAATAAAATTGAATGCTGCTTGAATGCTATGGTCTGGCTTTAATCTAATTTTCTTCCGAAACTAATTGCCTAAAAATAACTGCAAATTGGACACGGCTTAAACTAAAAAAAATAATTAAAAAAATATCTGAAACAGATAATAACAAAACCAGCCACCGCTTTTGGCCAAGATCTCGATAACAATAGTAGCCATAAGATACAGCGTCAAATATCGCTGATAACACAATCGACGCGCAGTAGCAAACGCGATGGTGGTAGTCGAATAAAAACCCAGCGTCTCAATGTAAGATTTTTCTTCATACGGATATCATTTTTTTGTTTAAATTTTTCAAAAAAGAAAAAGAAAAAAAAATAATTTTTAATTTTTAAAAATTTAAAAAAAAATTGTTTTGGTTTGTAAATATTTTTTTAATAGGGGTTTTTAATTTTACAAAAACGTGATGTATTGTGAAACAAACAGAAGGTTACTTGTTAAAATATGTATGTTTTTTGTACATATTATTGTGAAAGGGGGGTTCCTCGTCGGGAAACCTTTCGTCCTGTTCAGGAATGTTTTGAGAACTTTGTACAAAAAAAAATTATTTGTGTTTGCAATTTTGTTATTTAATTAATCAACAATTTCAATTACGTGGCTAAATTTCTTCCAATATAATGAAAATTATACGGCTTCAAGTCAATTAACTGTGTAATGGGAACTGACGAATGCTGCTTGGTAATTTGAAAATATTTAGTAGTGAGAAAAATGGGTGTTTTGGGTAAAGACACTTTAATAAATTTAATAATAAAAAATTAACATTTTTATAAAAATTATTTTGCATTTATTAATTTTTTTTTTTTGTTCCATTAAGAAATTTCTGAATATTTTAGAGGAGTTTTTTATGCATTGCAAAAAGGTTTATAGAACGTCGGATTGTTTTCTTGCAATACATTTTTGAGGATAAAAACTTAACGTACCCTTGAGTTAAAAACAGAACTTTTTGCATTATTTAAAAACGGTGTCGTATACTTAACATAATTCCCGCATTGAATACTCATACGCCCCGAGGGAGTGATGGAGTTTATTCCCAACATCTATGCAGTGCCAGGAGTTTTTCCAGCTGATTTTTATACCCTACACAACTATTTTGTCAGGGTATTATAGCTTTGTGCAGCCACAAGAGTTTGTAACGCCGCAAAATATTGGTCCTAGACCCATCTTTAAGTATACCGATCCTTCATATCGTGACTAGCCGAGTCGATCTAGATATATGTTACCGTCTGTCCATCCTCTGTCCATTATAATTTGTAAACACAATACAGGTCACAGTTATGGACCAATCTTCACGAAATTTTGCATGTAGAATGAGTTCTGACCAATGAAGACCCCTATGATTGATGGTAAAGATCGGTTAATATTTAGGGGGTGAAATGAATCAAATACATAATTTTTGTCAGTTTTTCTGGCCGTTCCAGAGGCCACAATTATGGCCCAATTATCGCTTTTTTACATGGAGAAGGGGATCGGGCCAAAGAACAAGCATGTCTGTTTTGATAAAGATTAGTCAATATTTAGCGGTTCAGATGGAACCTGACTTTTGTGTGAAAAATGACAAAATTTTTATTCTATGGCGCGTAGAAGGATATAGACCCGATAAGTTGATAGTAGTATATCCAAGAGGAGTGGTTGACCTTTAAATTGATACCAATTTTATGGTTGTATGTACTCGGATGTGGGAGTTTCAATTAAATATTTACAGGTGCTTACATATTCAAATATTACTAAAGGTCGGAAATATAACGCTAATCGCTTTGAAATTTTCCATGAGGATCCTGGTATAGTCAATGACAATGACCTAAAATTTTCGCTGATGATTGAATTGAAGTGGACCGAAAACTTAATTATTGTGTTTTTCGAGTCGACCTACAAGCCACAATTATAAGCCGAAAATCGCAACAAAACCCACGAATATGGATACCAAATAAATTGATACCAAATATATGGTCGTATTTACTCAGATGTGGGAGTTACACTTAAATATTTACAGGTGCTTACGTATTCAGACATTATTTAGTAACCCATTACCACACAGGACGGCGGAAATATAGCGCTGATTGCTTTGAAATTTTCCATAAGGATCCAGGTATGGTCAAGGACAAGGCCAATAATTTTCGGTGACTTTTGTTTGTGTTTTTTTTTTCGAATCGATCTATAGGCCACAACTGAAAGCCGAACATCACAACACAACCCACGTTCTGGACAAGTAATTAGAAGGGCTGTACTGAATACTAGTCATATTGTTTGACGTCTAGTCGGTCAAGAGGGTGCAAATATCGCGAAATATTTGCCAAACTCAGAATATAGAACCGCGCAAAGTTATATTTTCGCGGTAGTCATATGGTCGGCCCCGTCCGACTATACTGCTCCGCTCATTGGTTTTTTCATAAGTTCGAAATTTTTCCATTAATGAAATTTCTAAATATTTTAGAGGAGTTTTTTTTAATGCATTGCCAGAAAAGGTTTCGGGCTGTTTTTCTTGCGTCAAAAACAGGATTTGTTTGCGTTTCTAAAAAAAGGTTTCGTATACTTAACATTATCAGCAAATTTCAAACTCATACGCCCCGAGGGAGTGATGGAGTTTATTCCCAACATCTATGCAGGGCCAGGAAGTTTTCCAGCTGATTTCTTTTTCATACCCTTTACCACTCTGTGGTACACAGGGTATTATGTCTTTGTGCATGTGTTTGTAACAGGCAAAAGGAAAGGAGATAGATCCATGGGTCCTTTTGAGAATATGCATAGAATCACTGTCTGAGTCGATTTAGTTGCTTACTTAGACTATAGTAGCATTACTGTCTGCAGTGTTGCCCTATACGCTGCGTTTTTCACATCAGTAGCATTACGACGTTCCTGATCGTACCATGGATTTCTTGATGGTGGTTTTTGGTACCCAAGTGTTGATTTTGCTGCAGTTTGTAGGGAGTGGGCAATTCTTAGCCATTGTGCTTCTATACTATTATCGGGACAAGAAGTGTTTTCGTCATGCAGGTGGGCAAGTTGAGCGGAATAGGCCTCGGCTACCTGTTGTGTTTGCATTTGTATATGCATGTTAAATTGTAAACAAAGTACAGGTCGTATTTATGAACCGAATTGAATGAAATTTGGCACCGCTCACTTACTTGGCACAAGGACGAACCTTATTGAAATTGGGAAAGTTTGGGTCAGGTTTAGATATTGCTCTCGTATTTATCTTCTTCCCACTTTCGGTAAATGGGGCATCAACGTCCCTATATATCTTACGATTTGCACAAAATTTGGCATATCATACTGAATTGAGCCCAGAATGATGTGTGTAAAGTTTCGGGAAAATCGGTTCAGATTTAGATATAGCTCCCATATTTATTTTCTTCCGATTTTCGGTAAATGGTGGCCAAAAGCCGCTATATTTCCTTCTATTTACACGAAATTGTACACTGCGTATTGAATTAGGGCTAGAATTTTGTATGCAAAGTTTCACGAAAATCGGTTTGGATTTAGATATAGCTGTCATATGTATGCTCGTCCGATTTTCGGTAAATGGGGCATCAACGTCCCTATATATCTTACGATTTGCACAAAATTTGGCATATCATACTGAATTGAGCCCAGAATGATGTGGGTAAAGTTTCGGGAAAATCGGTTCAGATTTAGATATAGCTCCCATATATATTTTCGTCCGATTTGTGGTAAATTGCACATCAATGCCTCTACACTTCTTTCGATTTACACGAAATTTGGCATAGTGTACTATGTTCAGATTTAGATATAGCCGATTTTCGGAAAATAGTGTACCAAAGCCTCTCTACACGAATTTGTGCACAGCGTATTATATTAAGCCTATTATGATGTGTGGTAAGTTTCGTGAAAATCGGTTCAAATTTAAATATAGCCACCATAATGGGCTATCATGTTGTATGCAAAGTTTCATGAAAATTTGTTTGGATTTAGATATAGCTCCCATATATATGCTCGTCCGATTTTCGGTAAATGGTGCACAAAGCTCCTATATTCCCTTCGATTTACACGAAATTGTGCACAGCGTATAAAATTCAGCCTGGAATGATGTGTGTTAGGTTTCATGAAAATCGGATCAGATTTAGATATAGCTCCCATAAATATTTTCGTCCGATTTGTGGTAAATTGCACATCAATGCCTCTACACTTCTTTCGATTTACACGAAATTTGGCATAGTGTACTATGTTCGTCCGATTTTCGGAAAATAGTGTACCAAAGCCTCTCTACACGAATTTGTGCGCAGCGTATTATATTAAGCCTATTATGATGTGTGCTAAGTTTCGTGAAAATCGGTTCAAATTTAAATATAGCCACCATATAGATGTTCTTCCGATTTTATGTAAATGGTACCCTAAACTCCCAAAATGTTTCCGTTTAAGACGGAATTTGAAACACCATAACGTATTGAGATTATAATGATGTGTGCTAAGTTTCATAAAAAAGAGGCCTCCCTAAATACGTCGATTATACTAAGACTCAATTCTGGATCCATAAAAATTTGAATTTGAAATTTTTGAATTTAAATTTCTATATGTAGGCCTATTCTGTAACTTTTTTAATATAATATTAGAAATGTAATCATTTTGTATTATAAGAGAACTAAAAAAGCCTAATTTTTTTCTTTGTAGTTTAGTTGGGATGGTTTTGGATTCTAATACAAATAATAACAGAAATGGGATTTCTTTACTATTACTTTTATATATATTCTCCAGCAAAAACAATTCTGTCTAAATATTCAGCTGCTACTTTTGTACGAAATGTATTTATTTGTAAAAAAACAAATTGTATTTTTGATGATGGGCCCTTTTGCTTCTCCAGAAAAAAATATATATTAAAATAAATTGTATCCTTTACCACCTCCTAATCCTGTTCCTTTCCCTGTTACTGCCCCTATTCCTCCCTTCAAAAATCCTTTCCCTTCTCTTGACTTTACTTTCTTTCTACTCAATTTCTCTAAACAAAGCCTTTCCTAATTTCTTTTATCATTTTTTTTAATTTTATTTTTTTACAAAGTTAATTTGCGTAACATTTTTTAATTTTATTTATCTCCACCATATCCTATCTTTTACAACTTATTTTCTACACTTCCTTCTTTCCAGTGTTAATTTAATATGTCAAAATTTTTAATTTTTTTTGTTAATATTTTTTTGAATTGTTAATTTCTAAACCAAAAGAATCTGTTATATATGTGTTTGCTTCTTTTTTTATTCCTTCCGCTTTTTTAGGTTACTATACGCCGTGATCAACAACGTCCTCAATTTATAACTGAACCGACTGAAACAACGCCTGTACGTAATTAACACACCAAACCAACAAATACACACTCACAACCACTACTCACACCTACTACTTATAACCCCTACTTATAACCTATCTACCTTGCTCTCGTACTCTCTCTATATCTCTCTTGTACTATCTGTTACTCTTTTGCTATAACCCATCTCACCAAAAAAAAAAAAAAAAACAATGTAACAATTGTATTTACACACAGACACACACTACTACCTACTACTCACACTCCTTACAACTATGTTGCTAACAAACTTCTTCTAGTTCCAAAATACATACCAGTCTGTCTATTGTCGTCCTTCCATACTCCTATTGTGTTGTCCCTTGAACTCGTTGTATATTGTCCATTAGACTAAGGAGTTGTCACCCACGTAGCTGCGGGGTGACTCCTCCGGGTGTTAGCACCCACCTCTAAAATCATAATCCACAGCAGGTTGTAGTTATGCTTTGGTTATCACAGCTATTGGTGGTGTTGGCCATTAGATTGGTTCCTGTTGAGATTTCGGTTGTTGTAGACGTTTCTGCTTTTCTATATCTTCTTCTTCTTCCTTCGTAGCTATGTTTAAGTGTGCCACGTAGTCGTTATGGTTAATTGGCATATACAGTTATAGAATTTCATTAAAATAAATATTTTTATGGGAATTTATCTTGCAGATAATATTAATTATATAGTAATAATTATATGTGTATATATGTATTTTATTATGTAGATATATAATATACGAGGATGGTATGATAATGGTAAGACAATTATTTAATTTTATTAAAAAAATAATATTTTTTAAATAAAACCTAGAAGTCTTGGAATTAAATTTAAAATTAGAAATTTACAAAGATTTCAGGGGCTCTGAAATTATATTTCCATTAAATGTAGGTCATTTGGTATTAATTTTTATATAATCACAAATTCTCCGCTTATGTTGGCCCTTAGAAAATAAAAAGTTAAAAAAAATCTCCGATTGAAAAACAATGCCTGGGTTGGTATTTGAAAGTGTACCCATCCATCGGTGCGTATACGTAGTGTCAATAATAATACGTCACCTGGAACAGACTTTCAAATGTACGAGATTTGATCTAAAAATAATCGTTGCAGGTCTGATGTTAATGGTATTGTGGGTACGCTTCTCACCAGAATTCACTGTAATATTGCATTGTAGGTTATCTTTGGGTGGCAAATCGTTCTATCAAAAATTATTTATATTGACCCAAGTTTCAGGGTAGTATTTTTACACATTTTTTCATTTCAAATTGGGTGGAAAGTCTTCTTAACAGTCAATATCGGTCATGATTGAAAAGAAGTATTCAATAAAAAACCCCAATGCCTTGGTTGGTGTTTGAAAATGTATACATCCGCCGGTGCGTATGAATAGTGTCAATACTAATACGCCACCTGGAATAGACTTTCAAATTTACGAGATTTGATCTTAAAATAATCGTTAAGGTCTGATAAAAAAGCACCGTGTGATTCATTTCTCATCGTGTAGAAAATCGCCCTACCAAATGTTTGCAATATTGACCTAAGTTTTGGTGTATATCCCATATAACGATACCTCTATTATTCGGAGTTAATGAAATATTGGGCACGTGTCTCAACTGATAAGACGATAATATCGCATTTTAGGTTCTCATTGGGTGGCAAATCGTCCTATATTGACCCAAGTTTCAAGGTAGACATCATATAACGTTTCCTCCGGAATTTCGGAATTTTTACAATTTTTTTCCATTTCAAATTGGCGGTAATTTAATATTTTGGGTGGAAAATCTTCTTAACGGTCAATATCGGTCATAATTCAAAAAAGAATTCAATAAAAACCCCAATGCCTGGGTTGGTGTTTGAAAATGTACTCATCCACCGGTGCGTATACGTAGTGTCAACACCAATACGCCACCGGTGCGTATGATTAGTGTCAATACTAATACCCACTCAATAACAGAATTTCAAAAGATCAAATCTAAAAACAATCGGTAAGGTTTGATAAAAACCAGTCTTGTTCATTTCTCATTGTGTAGAAAATCGTCCTACCAAATTTTTACAATATAGACCCAAGTTTCGGTGTAGATACCATATAACGATACCTCTATTATTCGGTGTTTATGGAATTGACGATAATATTGGATATTAGGTTGTCTTTGGGTGGCAAATTGTTCTATCAAAAATTAATTATATTGACCCAAGTTTCAGGGTAGACCTCATATAACGTTACCTTCCGAATTTCGAAATTTGTACACATTTTTTTCATTTTAAATTGGGTGGAAAATCTTCTTAACGGTCAATATCGATCATGATTCAAAAGAAGTATTCAATAAAATACCCCAATGCCTGGGTTGGTGTTTGAAAATGTACCCATTCACCATAGTCTCCATATAACGTTACCTACCAAATGTCGGTGTTTTGCATTAGAATTGTAAATTAGTATTTTGAATTCTCACTGGGAGGAAAATCTTCTTAGCAAAAATCGGTCCATATCGGTCCACTTTTAGGAATAACCCCCCATGTAACGGTACACCCAAATATTCAATATTTTGGTAGCATTTTTTATTCAAATTGGCTGTAAATTGGTATTATGGGTTCTCATTGAGTAGAAATTTGTCCTGCCGAAAGCTACATATATCGATCCACGTTTTCGTATAGGTACCACATAACGTGACCACACCAATTTCGATACTTTCAAGGTTCGGTCCACATTTTTCGCACCGAAGTAGTCGAGTAGTTAGGCCTCCCGCATTCTGATGATGATACAGAACAAATTCTAAATAAGTCCATGTTCTCGCAAGTACACTCATCTTGGTTTGGCTGTAATTTGGCATTCTGGACTCCAGACGAATATAGAAAACTTGAATACCCTAGCCTAGGCTATTAAATTCAGCATTTCCACTTGATTTTTTATTTTATCACAAGTTATATACTCCTTGTATCTCTTGATAAACTATTATATCAAAACTACCCTGCTTCTGTTCGTGATTGACAAATATTTATCCTTTAAAATATTATCGTCCTGTTTGGTCCTTTGTAATATAATCGCCTTTTTCGGTGCTTTAAAATATTATCGTCCTGTTTGGTCCTTTGTAATATAATCGCCTTTTTCGGTGCTTTAAAATATTATCGTCCTGTTTGGTCCTTTGTAATATAATCGCCTTTTTCGGTGCTTTAAAATATTATCGTCCTGTTTGGTCCTTTAAAATATGACCGGCTTTTTTGGTCCTTTAAAATATAAACACCTTTTTTGGCCCTTGTTTAAAAAAATCATCGTTTTTTTTTTATTCTTAAAAAATATTCTTCAAAAACATCGTCGCCCTGTTTTGGTCCTTGAAATTTTTTCTTCAAAACCATCATCCCCCTGTTTTGGTCCTTGAAATTTTTTCTTCAAAAAATCATCGCCTTTTTGGATCTTAAAAAAATATTTTTCAAAAAATCATCGCCTTTTTTGGACCTTAAAAAAATATTTTTTAAAAAATCATCACCTCTTTTTTCCAAGGTAGCTCTTGAAAAAATATTCTTCAAAAAGTCGTCGCATTGTGTAAGACCTTAAAAAATATTCTTCAAAAAGTCGTCGCATTGTGTAAGACCCTAAAAAATATTATTTAAAAAATCCACGCCTAAGGTAGCCCTTGAAAAATGAATCTTTAAAAAATCCCCGCCTAAGGTAGCCCTTGAAAAATGAATCTTTAAAAAATCCACGCCTAAGGTAGCCCTTGAAAAATGAATCTTTAAAAAATCCACGCCTAAGGTAGCCCTTGAAAAATGAATCTTTAAAAAATCCACGCCTAAGGTAGCCCTTGAAAAATGAATCTTTAAAAAATCCCCGCCTAAGGTAGCCCTTGAAAAATGAATCTTTAAAAAATCCACGCCTAAGGTAGCCCTTGAAAAATGAATCTTTAAAAAATCCACGCCTAAGGTAGCCCTTGAAAAATGAATCTTTAAAAAATCCACGCCTAAGGTAGCCCTTGAAAAATGAATCTTTAAAAAATCCACGCCTAAGGTAGCCCTTGAAAAATTAATCTTTAAAAAATCCACGCCTAAGGTAGCCGTTGAAAAATGAATCTTTACAAAATCCACGCCTAAGGTAGCCCTTAAAAAATTAATCTTTAAAAAATCCACGCCTCATATAGTCCTTGAAAAAATATTCTTTAAAAAATCAACAAATTTTTGATCCTCATTTTCTTTGCATTTTTCTGTAGTTGTTCGGTCAAGGGATCTTCCATCTTTGCGTATAATTAATGTCATTACTTATACGCTCCCTGAAACAGTATTTCTAATATGCATAAGCGATCATCCAGTGTTGCGTATACGTAATGTCAATACTTATTAATAAAATATCAATTATCATACCATCCTCCTCTTAGCCTCTAAGGAATTTTAGATAAGATTTTCTTATATGTCAATTATATTATTCTAATGGTCATAACACACAATGTTTCTATCTAATCGTACACAATCTTCTATAATGTGTTACTAATTAACCCCCGACAAACCTATTGTATTATTGTCGCCCAGCTAATAGTGGGGGGGTACTGCTGATGCGATACGATGGTACCTCGGGAGGTGTACTGGTGTTGGTTATCATTTATGTTTATTGTTTTGTGTAAGATTGTGTGTTTTATCGGGTGTTGGGTTTATGTGTGCAATTCTCTCTCTATCTGTGTGTGTGTGTATGTGTAAATATCTGTGTGTATGTGTAAATATCTGTGTGTATGTGTAAATATCTGAGTGTATGTATAAATCTCTGTGTGTGTGCCATCTTTATGTGGGTTTGTAGTGTCACATATGTAAGAACGAACATTTAATATAATATTGTGTATTTTTTATTTCTGGTTCCAGTTTTTTTTTGCCCATTAGCGACTCAAACGAATAACAACAACAACAGCAAATTGTCTACAGAATATCATTTTATGAGTGTTAACATGTGTTTGTGTCCTGACATTCTATGCTTATGGCATTTATATAGTTAGCCATAGAAGGATTCTATGAATCCTTGTTGTCATCCATTGTTCTACTTAAAATGGTGTTTGTTTGGCGGGGGAATATAAACCCCCTTACTAAGCATTTCTACCAGTTTTAATTTTCCCTCCATTGTTTTTCATATTTTTTTGTTTTTAATTTCTCTTTTATTTTGGATTTATAAATATAACGAAAAAAAAATCGCACACACAAACACCACATCTACAGAGAGAACAAGTTGAATGCTTACGGCCATTTCTCTGGGTACTCTTAAAAAAACGTTCACTTTTTTATTATTTATTATATGGAAAATAGAAACAACACCACCAACAACAACGAAAATAGAAAAATAACCCATTTTTAATTATAAACAATTACATTTTAATTAGTTACACTTGGTTTAAACAATTTAATTAGCTGCTATTTAGTTTCGTTGGTTTTGGGAGGGTATGATTTTGTGTGAATATTTCTGGTAATTAAAATTTAAGTAGCTGTTGTTGAGCGGGATTTTTCCCCTTTGCAATTCTATGTCAAATAGGTTTTTTTTTATAAAATTTCATAAACGGTAAGTGGTCAGATGCTAAGTGTTAAATTTTGCGAAAAAAAAATATATACACAACAAAAATGAAGAGAGATAAAAATGTTGATTGCCACAGGGGCGTATGACTGATGTCAACACTTATACGCAACCAGTTACTTAATCAATTGCAGTATTATACAGGAAGATATAATATTTTTTATACGAATACGCGTTGAAAAATATTTTTTAAAAACCTTCACGCCTTGTATGAGTCCCTGCAAAAATATTATTTAAAAATCAACGCCTTGTTGAGACCCTGAAAAAATATTCTTTAAAAACATTCACGCCTTGTATGAGTCCCTGAAAAAATATTCTTTAAAAAATCCACGCCTTGTTGAGACCCTGAAAAAATATTCTTTAAAAAATCCACGCCTTGTATGAGTCCCTGAAAAAATATTGTTTAAAAACATTCACGCCTTGTATGAGTCCCTGAAAAAATATTCTTTAAAAAATCCACGCCTTGTATGAGTCCCTGAAAAAATATTCTTTAAAAAATCCACGCCTTGTTGAGACCCTGAAAAAATATTCTTTAAAAAATCCACGCCTTGTATGAGTCCCTGAAAAAATATTGTTTAAAAACATTCACGCCTTGTATGAGTCCCTGAAAAAATATTCTTTAAAAAATCCACGCCTTGTATGAGTCCCTGAAAAAATATTATTTAAAAAATCCACGCCTTGTATGAGTCCCTGAAAAAATATTCTTTAAAAAATCCACGCCTTGTATGAGTCCCTGAAAAAATATTCTTTAAAAAATCCACGCCTTGTATGAGTCCCTGAAAAAATATTCTTTAAAAAATCCACGCCTTGTATGAGTCCCTGAAAAATATTCTTTAAAAAATCCACACCTTGTATTAGTCCCTGAAAAAATATTCTTTAAAAAATCCACGCCTTGTATGAAAAAAATATTCTTTAAAAAATCCACGCCTTGATGAGTCCCTGAAAATATATTCTTTAAAAAATCCACGCCTTGTATGAGTCCATGAAAAATATTCTTTAAAAACATTCACGCCTTGTATGAGTCCCTGAAAAAATATTCTTTAAAAAATCCACGCCTTGTATGAGTCCCTGAAAAAATATTCTTTAAAAAATCCACGCCTTGTATGAGTCCCTGAAAAAATATTCTTTAAAAACATTCACGCCTTGTATGAGTCCCTGAAAAAATATTATTTAAAAAATCCACGCCTTGTATGAGTTCCTGAAAAAATATTCTTTAAAAACATTCACGCCTTGTATTACTTACTTAGCTGGCTTGTGATAGAACTTTCGTTCCATAAGCCGAGCTTAAAAAGATTACCAGGCGCAGATTTTCCAATTTGAAAGACCATAATCGGTAAAGTTGTCTTCCACTTGGTCTTTCCATCTTATTCGTGGCCTTCCCCTTCTACGGGAACCATCAGTAGGCTCGCTTTTATATGCCTTTTGAGCTGGGGCATTCTCATTCATTCGCACAACATGGCCTAGCCATCGTAGTCGTTGCAGCTCAATACGACTGACTATGTCGATGTTCGCGTATAAATTGTAAAGCTCGCGGTTCATTCGACGCAGATATTAACCGTCGACACAGATCGGCCCGTAGATCTTTCGGAGAATTTTTCTTTCAAACACTTCAATACCTGCCTCATCTGCTAGCGCAAGTATGCATGCTTCAGATCCAAATAACAGCACGGGTAGTATAAGCGTCTTGTAAAGTGTGCGTTTGGTCTGGCGGGAGGTGGCCTTGTTTCTAAACTGCTTACTTAGACCATAGTAGCATCTGTTGACCATCACAATCCTCCGAATTTCAAAACTGATATCATTCGTTTTATATATGGCGGTACCAAGGTATACAAAAATATTTAACTACCACAGTTCTCAAGTTCCACAGTTGGTCCGAGTCTACTGGACGTCTTGGTCTTCTCGCCGTTTACTGCCAGACCCACTTCGGCAGACTACTTCTCAATTTGTTCAAATGTGGCTGTTACCTCATGAATTTTCGACCCATTATATCGATGTCATCGGCATAGGCGAGTAACATGTGTTGTTTGGTTTACAGAGTGCCATTTCTGTTCACTTTTGCCTCTCGTATGACCTTTTCCAGCAGGATGTTAAAAAGGTCACACGACAAACTGTCACCTTGTCTGAATCATCGTTCGGTATTGAAGGGCTCCTATAGGTCCTTTCCGACTTTAACTACTGACCTTGAGCCACTTAATGTTATCCTGCATAGCCGTATTAATTTTGTAGGAATGCCGAACGTAGATATGGCTTTAAAGACCTCTGAGCGGATAAGGCTTTATAGTCGACGAATAGATGGATTTGTCGATGTGTTTCGATGTTGTCGGTATTTTCCAGGATTTGGCGCAGTGTGAAAATATGGCCAATGGTGAACTTACCAGGTCTGAAGCCGCATTGATATGGTCATTCCATTAGCTTCAGTCGTTCACACAGCACGTTGGATAGCACTTTATATGCGATGGGAAGGAGACTTATTCCTCTATAGTTGGCACATATCATATTGTCTCGTTTTTTGTGCACGGGACGCAGAATGCTGAGGTCCCAATCATTGGGCATGCATTCCTCTAGCCAAATTGAGTTAATCAGCTGGTGCATGCTCCTGACCAGTATCTGACCACCAGTCTTGAATAGTTCGGCACTTGCTGCTTTATTGTTCTTTAGCCGATTAATTGCTTTTATGACCTCATCTTGGCTAGGTGGTATACACTCTGTACCATCATATCTTATTTTTTCTGGGGTATCTTCTTCACCGCCACTATTTGATACCAGAAGCTTTTCAAAGTGCTCCTTCCAGATCCTCAACACGCTGTCTGTATCTGTCACCAGGTTTCGTTCTTCATCTCTACAGGAGGATGTGCCTACACCAAAACCTTCGGTTTGGTGTTTTACTCGTTGGTAAAATTTCCGGACTTCATTCTGACTCCTGTACATCTCGATTTGCTCACGCTAACGTTTTTCTTGTTCTTTCTTCTTTTTTCTGAAAACACGTTTCTCCTCTCTCCTTTTCTCCCTATAATTCTCCATCACATTACGTGTTGCTACTCTCTGCAGGGTTGCCCTATTCGCTGCGTTTTTCACATCAGTAGCATTACGACACTCCACGGATTTCTTGATGGTGGTTTTTGGTACCCAAGTGTTGTGTTTGCTGCAGTTTCTAGGGAGTGGGCAATTCTTAGCTATTGTGCTTCTATGCTATTATCGGGACAAGAAGTGCTTTCGTCAAGCAGGTGGATAAGTTGAGCGAAGTAGACCTCGGCTACCTGTTGTGTTTGCAGCTTTTCGACGTCAAATTTTCGTGTTGCATTAGATCGCACCTTTGCTGCAACATTAAGACGAGTACGAACCTTGTCTGCTACAAGGTAGTGGTCCGAATCGATATTCGCTCCTCGGATCGACCGAACGTCTAATACACTGGATGAATGCCTTCCGCCTATCACAACATGATCAATTTGATTTCTCGTTGCTTGATCAGGAGAAATTCAGGTGGCCTTGTGTGAGTCCCTGAAAAAATATTTCTTTTTAAATCCACGCCTTGTATGATTCTCTGAAAAAATATTTTTTAAAGAATACACGCATATGTTGGTACTTGAAAAAATATTTTTTTAAAAAATCAAAAACATTTTTTTTAAAATCAAATCATAATTTAAATTATATCGTAGGGGCGCGCGTATAATTAACGTCAATGCTCATACGCAACCTTGGCAACATAATTCGGTTAATATAAATCTGTTGGCTCCCAAATTAACATATATTTATAAAATCGGTGTGGTTTTTAATTATGAACCGTTTATGAAATTTTATTTCAAGAAAAAATCTACATTTTATGTGTCTTACTTTTAGAAAATATTGAATAAAAAATATTTGTAGATACAAAATAAATAAAACTATAGTTTTTATAGAACTTTATAGGAAATAGGTTTATCTGATTTTGTTCCAGAAAAAAACAATGTCTAGTGTTAATTATTTATTTGTTTATTATGACCATTGTTTATAGTTTTATATAGTTTTTAATTATCAATTTGTGATATTGTTATTATTTTTTTCATTTTCTTGTTACAATTAGTCCAATTTATTACCATTTCATTTTCATTAAAAAGAAGTTTTGTAATTTTTTGTTCTTTTCATTTTGTTACTAATGTCCAAGTATAATCATGTAGTTGTCCGTCTAATATTAATTTGACATTTTTTGAAAAAAATTAAATAAAATCATTGACAACAACAAAAAAATCCAATCCAAATTTGTCTTTGGCAAAAGTATTTTTTTAACACATATCCTTTTTTCATTCCCCGATTCTTCTTCTATAGTTAATGCGTGCGGCTACACGTAAACCAGCCAATGATACAAACAGTTCAACTGTTGCAATTGGAGGTGGTGGTGGCCAAACATCACCCAATGACATACCACTGAGTAGCATGGAAACAAATCGTTCCCATCATCCACGTGAGGAGGAATATAAATCCGGCATTTTGGATCAAATTGCCTATGGCATAACGGGTGTTGGTGGTTTTATCTATCAGAATAGTTATATATTCACCAATGTTCTGATGATGGTAAGTAATGTGAAGAGATTTTTTAAATTCATTTTTGAAAATATTTTTTTAAAAATCCATGCCTGCTGTGGTCCTTTAATATTTTGTAAAAACCCACGCCTTGGTATGGTTTTTGGAAAAATATTTTTAAAACATCTACGCCTTTATAACCTTTATTGTCCCTCCTTTTAAACTCTCCACTCTTCCCTTACAGGCCTGGTCAATTATCTATCACAGCTGGCTAACATTTGTCCTGCTGCTGTGGGCCAATGTTTTGTGGATGATACCAAATCAACGCAAGGCCATGATGCGTTCTAGTCTTTTTATTGTAATTTATGCAGAGTTGTTGTTAATTGCCCAATATATTTACGGCATGGATTTGACAAACGACGAATTGCCCTCCAAAATTAAGGTAAGCTCCAAAAAAATCCATCTAAACGATTTTAATAACTTATTTATCTTCTTTGTTTACATTGCAGATAACCGGCATTAATTTACAACAAATCGGGTTTGAACGTCCCAAGGACAACGATATGCAACCCTGTGTCCCGTTAATAGTTAAAACCTCCTTCTTGCTAATGTTTTGGGTAACGATGCGTCAATTTTTCAAGGAGAAAACGGATAAACGTCGTGATAGTACCTTGGCGGATATGTTCGCCCCGTTGCATTTGTCCGTGCGCTCATCGGCAGTGAATGGTGATGATGCCGATGGTGCTGATGCTAAGAAAACTTCAAAGTTCCTAAAGAAAATTGGCACCGTTATTAAGAATCTCTTGGTTCGACTATGGATATGGTTATTGATTTTGGTCATATTTCTGTGTGCCATGACGGGTGACAAAATGACCGGTTTTCGTATTTGCTATATGGCCCTCTTCCTATTCTTTTTATTGGTATTCCAATCGTCATCGAAAGCCTGGGTAAAGTTGATGTATGGATTTTGGTTGTTCCTCATCTTCTATGCCATGTCCATATTGATCCTGATTTATACCTATCAGTTTGATAAATTCGATCAGTATTGGAATGATTATTTGAATATCTCCAAGACATTGTGAGTATATGACAACCCCAAACCCTTTAAATTCTTTTTCGATCTTATTTTAATCTAAATTTCCTTTTCATCATTCTAGACAAACGGACATTGGTCTGGAACGTTACAAGACCAAAGATTTACTGCTGCATTTCATATCGCCCACCATTATCGTCATTCTAACCGTAATACAAGTTCACTATTTCCATAAACGTTTTATTGCCTCAATGAATCAAACGCCCGTCGTCGAAAAGCCCGGTCCCGATCAACAACAACGTCAACGCACCAAAAGTGGTTCCCGTCCCGCCGACTATGAAATGAAAGATTTCACCGAATCGGCCGGTGAATTGATTCGTCTGTTCTTGAAACGTTTCCGCCAAAAGGCTGAGAAATTACTAAAACAATTTAAGGGTGTTTTCTGGAGCATTTTGGAATTACATTGGATTAAAGTGGTTTATATAACGGCATTTGTATGTGCTGTTAGTGAGGTAATAAACAAAAGCAAAAAATCAACGAACTTACGCACGTTTTATGGAAATTTTAAACGAAAACAAAAAAACTCAAGGGGCAAATTTTTATTACTTGAGTTTGGAGATTGCTATAAAATCGGAAATCAGTTACTGATTTTATAGATGTCTTTTGGGATTTTTTACTACTAACCAATAACTACAGAAAAAAGGGAAATGTGTTCAAAATTAAATACAAATCCTTTTCTTAAAAGGCTCTGAAATAATATCATTTAAAAAATCCACTCCTCAAAGGAGACCCTAAAAATTTTCTCCAGAAATCCATCTATCCAAAGGAGACCATAAAAAATATTATTTAATAATCCACTCCTCAACGGAGACTCTCCTCAAAAGACCCTGAAATAATATCCTTCAAAAAAAATCCCGTCCTCAAAGGAGTCCCTAAAAAATATTCTTTCAAAATCCTCTCCTCAAAGGAGTCCCTAAAAAATATTCTTTCAAAATCCTCTCCTCAAAGGAGTCCCTTAAAAATATTCTTTCAAAATCTTCTCCTCAAAGGAGTCCCTAAAAATATTCTTTCAAAATCCTCTCCTCAAAAAATCCTCGCCTTGTAGAGGTCGATGAAAAAATATTCTTTAAAAAATCCTCGCCTTGTAGAGGTCGATGAAAAAATATTCTTTAAAAAATCCACGCCTTGTTTGGATCCCTGAAAAAAATATTCTTTAAAAAATCCTCGCCTTGTTTGGATCCCTGAAAAAAATATTCTTTAAAAAATCCACGCCTTGTTTGGATCCCTGAAAAAAATATTCTTTAAAAAATCCACGCCTTGTTTGGATCCCTGAAAAAAATATTCTTTAAAAAATCCACGCCATGTTGAGACCCTGAAAAATTATTCTTTAGAAAATCCAGACCTCTAATTAAATACAATTTTATTTTTATTTCCGATTGACAAAATTTTGAACACATTTCTCTTTTTTTATAAAAAAAATATCCCATATTCTCCTTTATTCAAATATCATAATTTTTATATCACTATTTCCTCCTCTATTTTTTATTACTTCTCCCTCAGGTATCCCTACTCCATGTACCCTTCATTGTATTGTGCGTTATTGGTGTCATCTCCAATGTACGCATGCGCATCTTTTTCAGTCGTGTCATCTCGTTGGTAGTCACTCTAATTGTTCTCTCAAAAATGATCTATCAAATTGCCTATTTGGATCACACGAAATATAATGCGGAATGTGTAGAAAATGGACAAACGAAAATTGTCGGTAACAATGCCGAATGGTTTGGCTTGTTTAAGGCAAATTCTGAAACTGGCCTAATGGGTCTGCTAAAGAAATATATAATTTATATGGTAATCGCTACACTGCATGCTGTCATTTCTCTACGTCAATATCAAATGCGTCGCCTGAAGGGTACCCAAAATGATCCCTTACCTAAAGTGCCATTCCCCGAAGTGACACGTGAAGATGCCGAAAAGAAATTAGAGAGTATGATTAAATATTTACTGAATTATGGTTTTTATAAATTTGGTTATGAGATTTGTATGATCGCATTGGTATCCACTATAACCTATCGTCAAGATATTGTTGCGGTCGCGTATGCTGTTTGGTTGGTGCTGTTGCTGATATTCAAGCGGAAGAAGATTGCCCATTTCTGGAGTGTCTTTCAGATATTTATATTGATATCGATTATTGTTCAGTATATTGTTTTGGTACAATTGCCACCGACAATGTGTACAAGTAAGTTATGATCAATTTAAAATTATAATATTTGTGAGGTTATGTTTAAAAAAAAAAATATTTTTGAAATAGTCCCTGAAAAAATATTCTTTAAAAATCCACGCCTGGAAAAAGTCCCTGAAAAAATATTCTTTAAAAATCCACGCCTTGTATGAGTTCCAGAAAAAATATTCTTTAAAAAAATAGACGCCTCGTAAAGGTCCCTAAAAAAATTCTTTAAAAAATATACGACTTGTATGAGTCCCTGAAAAAACATTCTTTAAAAATCCACGCCTTGTATGAGTTCCAGAAAAAATATTCTTTAAAAAAATAGACGCCTCGTAAAGGTCCCTAAAAAAATTCTTTAAAAAATATACGACTTGTATGAGTCCCTGAAAAAATATTCTTTAAAAAATCCACGCCTTGTATGAGTCCCTGAAAAAAATATTCTATAAAAATCCACGAGTTGAATAGTCCCTTATTTAAAAAATCTAAAACATTTCAATCATAACCTCACATAATCTGGAAAATGTATTCAAAATGAATTTCTTTATTTTTTTCCAGAATACATCTGGGAAGGATCACCATTTTCCGATTCCATACAACGATGGGCAATGTTGCCGGGTCACCTGAAATACGATCACACCAAAAAGTTAATATTCGATTTTATATTACTGCTCTTGGTGAATCGTCAGAAACGTGTCTTCTCCATTGAGAATATACCCAATTTCCCGGGCGGTAGCAATCAATCGGTCGTCAAGGATATTGCCAATTTGGGCAAAGTTGAATTCGTTAATCCTACTCATGATTTCCTTTCTCATATGCGCAATTATTTGGATATTTTCAAACATGCCATTCTGTGTGGCTTCTATTGGGTAACTTTAGCTGTGGTGTTTTTGGCTGGTACCAGTATTGCAGACTTTTTGGCTTTGGGCTACTTGATCGGGGCCTTCTTCTTTTTGTGGGAAGGTTCTGATTTCTATTTAAGGCCGATAAAATCCATAATTGGCCTATGGAAAATTCTGATAGCCTATAATGTGGCAAATATTGTGATAAAAACATGTTTGCAAATGGCCGGATGTATGTTCATGGAAACGTTGGTGACCAATTGTTGTTGGCTCGTGCACATGTTGGGCATCAACTGTGCCAGCAAAGGTCCCTCGGCGGTTGATGTCAACGATGATAATGATCCGGAATGCCCTGCCACCACAGTACAAGTTGTCCTACTATGGGATTCGATATGTTTTGCCTTCCTCATATTCCAATTGAGAATATTCAAATCACATTATTTCTGTCACATCATCACCGACACAAGGGCGAATAACATATTGGCATCAAGGTGAGGAAGAAAGGATGCATTTTTTATTATTTTGCCAATGAATAAAATTTAATTTAAAATTTCTTTGTTTTACAGAGGTGCCGAAATCATTGAACATCTGCGTCAAAAACAAATCGAAAAACGCCAAGAATACGAAGAAGAGGTCTTGCATAAAATCAAACGTAAAATGGAAAAGATCCGTGCCACCCAACAGAAAATGCTTAGACCTTTGGAGAAACCCACACACTTTGATGGTAAGTTGGTGGTAGTTTTTTTTTCAAATTTACAACTGATGATTTTGAGGATTCCGGAAGAAATATTATTTTTTTTAATTGGTTCCTGCTGAATGATTTGGTATGTTCAAATGGTTTACAATTTGTATATATGCGTTTTAGCCAGAAAAAAATTTAAATATCTTGATAAAACCTGTTCATTATATTGAATATTAAAAATATTAGAGTTTAAACATTACTACCTAATCATAGATGTATGTGTGAGTAAGTCATATAAGGACATAACTTAAATAATTTTTGAACAACTTGCTGATGCAAAGCAGGTCGTTATAAAGACCAATTGATCTGTATAGAGACCGCAGGTCTTTATAAAGACCAATTGGTCTGTACGGAGACCGCAGGTCTTTATAAAGACCAATTGGTCTGCATAGAAACCGCAGGTCTTTATAAAGACCAATTGGTCTGCATAGAAACCGCAGGTCTTTATAAAGACCAATTGGTCTGTATGGAGACCGGAGGTCTTTATAAAGACCAATTGGTCTGTATAGAAACCATTAGGTCTTTATAAATACCAATTGTACTGTATAAAGACCACAGGTCTTAATAAAGTCCAATCGGTCTGTATAGAGACCGAAGGTCCTTACAAATACCAATTACGTTATAATTTCTCTTAAACTTAATTCACTTCTGGACAGTGAAGTAGACCAATGATTCTATGTTTTAGACTTCGTTTTTTTCATATAGTGCCGATTTATATATTATTCAAACAGTAATTGAGGTTATGTTTAAATATTTTCTGTTAGTTATAAAAAATGAAAAGCAATAATCCTTAAATCGAATCAAATTAAAAAATCAAATTAGGCTTTAGACGAGCATCAGATTATTTGATGCATACCAGCAGTTCTCAGTCATGTAATGATGGTTCCGGTTACCATACCCCAAGTGGCGAGAGAAAATCCGGCAATGACAATGGATCAATTGCTAGTAATAGTAGTAAAAGCAGCAGTCGAAGTAACAGCAGCATTTCCGACAATGAATTTGATCTCAATTTTTCACATGAATATGAAGAAATTGGTGCGGAACGTAATACCATGAATAATAATATCGTATTACCACAAATTGAAATAGAAGGAATGACACCGCAGGTAATAAGAAAAAAACCCTATTAAAAATGGCATCACCAATTTTAAAATGCATATCTGTTCTGAAGCCCACAACACCCTCATCCGATGTATTGACAATGCCATTGGAGGGCTATTTGGAGGCACCACGATTATCATGCTATTCACAAACCCATTCGGATATGTCAAGACCGAAATATTCACGCAACAACTCGGAGGAAGAGGAGGATGGATCAAGTGATGTGTTTACCACAACGGTAGCGATTTTTTGGGTTTATTTTATCAGGGGTTCAGTTTTTGTGTTAAACTCTGTTAATTTGTTTTTGTAGAATCCCAAACCAAGACCTTCACCCATATTATTATCCGTTAGGACGTTACAAGATGATTTAAATAGGAGTGCAGCCAGCTCTCTGATCTCTTCGAATTTTACTCGGGAAACGTCATCATCGTTGAGACGTAACTCATCAATAAGACGTCGTCAATCATCGGTAAATGCTGTATCATGGAATGACAATGTGTCGGTGCAACAAGAACCGGCCAGCAATTCTTCAGCCTCGAAGAAAAGGCCAGCAGCAACAGCACCAGATGATGCAGAACAGGTTACCATGCGACGCCAGCGTCTGCTGCATCGTCGCCATCAAAGTGTGGGCAATGCCAAATATTCCAATGATGATCAACAATCACAAAAATCGACAAATCGTCGACGTTCCAGCTCATTGTGGTGGGCCCAAGAAGAGGCGGCCAAGCGCAATGCCCAACGTCCCTATAGCTGGGGTCCGGCTGGTATGGATGTTTTTGCAACCGATTCTTCGTTAATGTATAATTCATCGGCTGTCTACCAATGTGATCTGCTCTTGCTGCATGGACAATGTACACACACACACAGAAATTTTTGTGGATTGGTTTTTCCAACTTGTTTTTCTTCACCTCTTCTTCTTCTTGTTTCTTAGAAAATACATTTTTTGAATTTTTGTTGAGAAATTTGTAAAAAATGAAATAAAAAATTCGTTTTTGGCGCTAAAAAGACCGTGGCCACTTTTTTATGAATAGTTCTGTTTTCTTTCTCTGTAAATATCACCGTTTTTTTAATAATCTTTGGTTATTTGCGGGACTTAAAAGCGGAGGACTTCTTTTGCAGATTTGTTTAATGGCAAGCATTGAGGATAAAATTTGATCGATTGAATTAAGAAAACCTATTAACGTACTCACTGAACCCATTCTAAGGTTTTTAATTTTATCGAATCATGTTTTCTCCTGCGATTTCCGTAAAACAAATTTCACCTCTTAAATTACAATGGGTGCGAAAAATCTAGTCTCCAACAAAGGCTGTGTAAAAAAACAATTTTAGATAACTTGGAATGCCCTAACAAAAAACCTAATAACACATTTTACTTCTCAATGTTCGGAATTTAAATTTATTTATATATTTACAATTAAAAAAACATAAAATCTCACACCAAAAAATATACCAAAAATTGGTATAACTATATAATCATGGAATGACAAACTAATAGTAGTTATATGGTAACACTGGATGTAAACACCTATCCAGGCTGATAAAAAGTTTTTTCTCTCTCCCTTAAAAAAACAAACAAAGCTTCTTTTGTACAATATACAATTTAGTTTTTAATTTGCATACAATTTTTCTTATATGCTATTTATTAAAATTTATTTTTTTCTATTATTTTGTTTTACAAATTTATTGTTTTCTTTTTTTGAAATTTTTAATTATAGAACATGGAAATCCAGTTTATGGCTCACGACCACATAAAAGGAAAGAAATTAAATTGCATCCTGCCGGTAAATGTTTTAATTTGTTTTTATTATCACTGCTTAATTATCATTTAACAAGTATTATCTATTGTTTTGGTTATATATGTATTTATATATACATTTTTAGTTTATTCTAAGTGTAAAAAGTTTGCATATAAAAAATGATAATACTTTATTTAAGTAGTTTTAAAATATAAGGTAGAAAATTATGAATCAGGCCGTATGGTAGCATTAGATAGCCATAAATTCAAAAAAAATCTTTTGGATCAGATTTATGTACATATTTGGGATACGTAGTTTTTTTTAAATTACATTTTTTAATTTAGCCCCTTTAGTACGCCACCGTCCCATTTTACTTATCTTGAAAATCACAACCACATTTCCAAACGAAATGGCTGTAAATTTGCATTTAAGGTTCAGTTTTTCGGGCAACTCCCATATAAAGGTACCACCAAATGATCGGTATTTTTGGGGTTTTTGACCGCACTTTTCAACCCATTTTGCTGTAATTCGGCACAATGAGTTCTTATTGGATATCAAATCTGCTCACTAAAAATTATATGTATCGGGCCATTTTGTCGGGTAGCCCCCAGGTAAAGGTACCCCCAAAATGTTCATTATTTCGGGGTTTATATGTGCGTGCAAATTCACTGTAATTTGGCACATTGGGTTCTTATCGGGTACCAAATCTCCATACTAAAAATTATCTATATCAGTCCACTTTTTCTAGTAACCCCTATGTAGAGGTACCACCAAAAATTTGGTATTTTGGGGAGTTTGGAAACGGTTTTCAACCTGTAATGTTTGTAAATTGGTATTTTTGGATTCTTATTGGAAACAAAAGCTCTCTACTAAAAATTATCAAGATCGGTAAACATTTTGTGGTAGCCTCAATGTAACGGTACCCCCAAATAGTCGGTATTTTGTTTTTTTGAGCGTGTTTTTCAACCAAATTCCCTGTAATTCTATAAAGCCCCCAATAACTACCTCTACCCCAAATGTTCGTTATTTTTTGGATTCTTATTAGAAACAATATATTAAAATAGTTAAATCATTTGTTTCGCATGATAAGGGTTGCCCCCTTTTCATTTGTTAATTATTTATTTTTGGTTCTACATATTTACAATGGGCTAAGCTGAGCAGTCGTTGATCAAGAATCACGCCATTACGGATCAAAAGGTCCAGTGTTTTGGAAACGTTTTGCTTTACGACATATTCATCAGTAAAGACTGAGAACAGGAAATAGTGGATGGCGAACTTGTGAATATTATTGATATGGGAATATTCTTTAAAATCAAATTCTTGCGCAATAAAAAAAATCATATTAATTTTATTTTTAATATTTATTGATTGCAGACTTTTTATGCCTAGTCTATAAGATAAATTATTATATTATTATGGATATTGCATTATATTTTAAATATTAAATATATGTTTCATTTGTTTTGTTACAATTATATTTTATTATATAAAAATACTAGCTTATATTATAATGTAATGATTTTTTTGATGGCATGTTATTTCGAACCACCTTCTTTATTTTTGTTTTTCTTCTTTAAATATATATCTCTCTTGATGCTTGCTTTGTTTGTTTATTTATTTTCTATCACATTTGTCTCACTTGCTCGAAATGTTTCAATACTTGTTTGTATTATGTCCCTGTTCTTTTCTCTAAATTTATTTATTTTTTTGGAAATGTATAGATAAGAAATATTCGACATACAATTTTTTTATTTTGTTTGTAAATTCTCTCCAGCTTTATGGATATTCTATATACTAGGACAGTTCTTAGCCTAGCACAGGTGTTAAAAAAGAGGCATGTGATTTTTTTTACAATGAAAGCACGCATTTCTAATTTTTCCGTTGTAAAAAATTAGGGATGCGTCTTTTTGGAACGCCTGACAGAGATGGAAGTTTCCAAAACACTTAACTTTTTTTCTGTTTATACTGCGCTATTTGTGCTAGGCTAAGAACTTTCCGAACTGTCCTCGTACAATTACAAAAACCCTATAATTTGTGATTTTGTTTTTAATTGAGGAGGACATTTACATCTTTTGGATTGTATGTAAATCTACAATTTATTTAATTTCGAGGAATTTGTGTTTCTAAGCTTACTTCGGATTAATTTTTTTTAGAAATATTTACATATAAAAATTTATATTTTCCATTTATACAAAATGTCAATTTGCTGGTGTTTGTGTCAAGTTTTCTTATAAGTGTACTGCTTCTCCAAAATTGCGCGAATCTCTATGGCAACTGTGATCCTTGCACTAATTTTTCTTTCTTTCAATCTCAGATGTTTTCTGTATTTTTTCTTCATTTCGTTGCCATTTAAAAATAAAGGTATGCATTTCAAAAAACCGCCATAATTTTTATAGACTTGATACAGCAAAAATGTGCATCATCGAAATATTGGTTTTAGACCCCTAGTTTCTTTGAACCAGTTGATTTTCAAATGTCCGTCCGTCCGTTTGTTTATGCTGGCTGGTGCACACGATAACTCTCTAATGGGGTAAACAATTTCATCTATACTTTGCACATCGTAGTATTTCTTCCAAATTTAAATCAAGTTCGATGATGGGAAATATCGGTCCTCCCTTTTTGGATAAATGGTTGAAATCTTGCTGAAAATTAATTTTGTAATATCTCTATCCGATTTAGACCAAACTTTGCATAACCTAATATTTTTAGGGTGTGCATGCCTTTTATATATTGTTGGAAGGTGGGACTTATGGGCGTACCTTCTGTATAAATACAATATTAAGCGAATGGAATGTCCGAATAGACCCAAACTTTGCACATCGTAATATTTTTACCAATCCTAGATCCAGAATTTTACTTTCTCTCTTGACAACAATTCATGTAAAAAATTGAATTTTTATTCGATTTTACTAATGAGCATTTTAGATATATTTTTTCTCAAGTTGTTCAGGATCGCAGAATTTGATTCTCGAGAAATTCCTTTTCCTATAGGATTAAATTCCTTGCAGATATTCATGATATATAATAACATTTTTCTAACTATTATAACTAGAATCTTTTTTTCAATATATTAAAATAATTTTGATACCTTTTCTAGATACAGAAACCATAGATGATTATATAGAACATTTATTTTTTATTAAATTGTATAAAAATGCAAGTATGTCATATTTCCATATACGTTAAACCATTATGAAGCATACATGAATTTCAGTTAGGTGGTTATTTAAAAATAAAAAAACACGAGAAATTCAATAAATCTCAGAGAGGCATATTTTGTTAAACCGAGTTTATTACGATCAATTTTTTATTGAAATGATTTCTTCAAGAACTCATTTCCATATACTTTTTTTTGAATATGTGATGTTATTACTTGACTACTTTACTGGAATTCAATGTTCGCTCATAATCGGATTAATACTCTATAACGAAATACATACTTACACAAAAATGTACATCTGTTGTGTGTAATTGAAGGCTTTTGAAAATCATTTGTGTTTGTTAAACATTTTTTTAATACATTTAAATATGAGATTTTTTAATCTACTCTCTTATATTTTAAAATTGGCAAAATGCCTAATAAGACATATAAATTTTTATTATATTTGTGAATTGTGTGTATAGTGTAAAATAAATATAAAACCTATGCAAATATTTTGTAATGATTTTTTTCAATTATTTTTTAGACATTTTTATTTTTTCTTTAATACCTTACTAATATTTTTTAAAACTTTTTGCCTGTATGTAAATACTTTTTTACTATTTGTTATTAATAATTAATGTATATAAAAGTTTGTTTTTAGAGTTGTGCTATTTTTTTTAATTTGTTTCGTTTCTTTTTTAATTTAAATTATCCACAATTTAGCTGTGCGTGCTGGAGATTATTACATGTTCGAGGACATTGATGATAAATTCGAATTGGATTTAATAACCGATAGTGATGGCCTTTTCGATAATGACAATGAAAATATCACGGAAAGTGAAATCAAAATGAATCGTCGCAAGACTTTGTATGATGTAAGTATTAATGTAACCATTATTGATGTATATATGTTATAAATGTGCTATTTTGGAATATGCAATGGTCTGAGCGTTTTATGAAAACTTTTTTTTTTGAGGCTAGTTGGCTTTTTTGTTTCATTTTCTAGTATGCTAGAGGTTGAATTATTATCATAAATGTATCTAATTTTGGTGTCATGATAGGAATCTGACATGAAATTAATTTTATTCTTATCCTATTACTATCATTGGTTTAAAATGAAAATTTATTAACGGTTTGAAGTGTCAAAATAAATTCTGTCACTTGAAAGACCTATTATAGTAATTGGATGTTGTTGCTCATACTAGGAATCCAACAAAAATTACAAAAAATCGATCGATTTAGTATAACATTGTCTATAAGAGACCTATGGGGATTTTTTTCACTGAAGACTTTTTGTTAGAATCTCTATCATCTGGAATGGTTTTATGATATATTGTCTTTATTATAGAAAGTTCTGTAGAACTCCTTTGTATAAATAAAATATCATAAATGTAATTCTAATCTTCTTACAAAACGCTTCGATTTGGACTTTTTTATGATACAAAAATCACCTTTGTCGTTAGGCGTAGAATCAGGCATTGAGACAGAGCCCTCCAAACGTTGATCACCATTAACAGCAAGTTTGTAGTGCTTCGCATCAGCTACTTCTCGGACCTTCCCTACAATTGAGCCACTGTCCGTTGTGGGGTCTCGACAGATTCCCCATCGTCGGACATCACCTCTGTCGCAGATTGCCTCTGAAATTTATTGTCGGCAAGTGCCGACACAGGACCCGTTGGTGTCCAGCTCATCATCAGTCAGGGTGAGATTTAGTAGGAGTTTCTCGTAAGCGTATCCCCACATAGCTCTTCCGGTATTAGTGTGTCTAACAGGTCGAAGATTTCCTTACTTTGCTCCTCTAAACTATCGCGGATAGCGTTAAGTGTCCCGTGTAGGTCGTCCCCTCCCAGAAGTACAGTCCTGTCAGCCAGAGACTGATTTTCATCTTGATCTGTGTATATCAAAAATATTACGATGTACAAAGTTTCGATGAAATTGCTTACTCCGTTCGCTTTCTATAAGATTTTCAGAGTGGGGAAGCTATTAGAAGGAGTGATCCGATATACCCCACCTTCCAACATTATACAGGCATGGTTAAAATATTAGGTTGTGCAATGTTTAGTTCAAATCGCATTGCCCGTTCACATGATATTATGTATAAAATTAATTTCCAGCAACATTTAAACCATTTTGTGTGGGCGGTACCAGAATTAGTGGACCGTCATTAGAAGCCTTAACGTTTCCCCAATTGTTGCTATCCTGTTACCCACACCCTCTATCATAGTTACGGGTTGGGGGTGCCTTTTAGATAGATACTCTTTGTTTTTTGAAACGTCATTGACGTTGTCTACCTTTTCGCAGAACAACTTCCAGGAATAGCAATTGGCGGTCCTAGTCATTTTATTGCATGGAAGTTGTCCCAGAATATTGTGAACTTTTTCCGGCGTTATCTGTTGTAAAGCATCGGAACACTTTATTTTTATTCTGAATCTTCCTCTGTCATCAGGGGTTTTCCTCGAAAGACTTTACAATTATTTCCGTTAATTTGTTGACCTAACCTATCTACAGACATGTTTTTTTTAAATATATTTGAAGGTAATATATCGACAATCAATAAAAAGTCATTGGCCTATGTATATAGAAGTTTTTTCACCTATAACTAAATAATGTATTTTTAAGGAATTGGTCATACTCTAAAGAAGCCATTGAGAAAATTAATCCCCCCCAACGACAATTTAATACATAAGGAATGTCTTCCTAGAGGTCTTCTGTCATTTTCATGAACAAAAATCTACAAAATAAATTTCAAAAATCTTTATTTAAAAAAAAATTAATTTAAATTATCTATAGTTATAACATCGTATAACATTCACTTTTATTTCTTAAAACAACATTAAATTATAACTACTTGTCAATATTTTACTATTCATCACCATCATCTATTTCTATATTATCATAGATATCTTCGATACCCTGAATTTCTTTTAGTTTATCTACAAACTTTTGATAATCGGCCTTCTCCTCCGGCGACAATGTCACCGTATTCAATGGTGTATAAATGTGTTCGGTATTAACGACAGTATAACCTTTATTCTCCAACGCCTTTCGTACACCATTAATACCCTCCGGTTTACATACGAAATTAACAGCACCCGTTTCATTATCCATAATTTCAACATCTTCAGCACCTGATTCAATGGCATCTTCTGTTGCTCTATCTTCCAGACTTTCACCGGCAGCCATACGCGCCTTATCTACGGTGGCTTGAATTAAACCAAAATCTTCAAATAGATGGCCAGCATCAATTTGTACGCCACCACCTTTACGCAATATCGTCGACATATCCATTTTCAATTGGGCAAAATTATCCGTATATATGGTACAGACCATGAAGACCTTCTGCTTGTAGCGTACATCTTGACGATATTTTTTCAATTGTGACTTAGAGGCAGTGAATTTTTTCAAATTATTTTGTATCGTTGCCATTGGCATATTTTTACGTAGAGCTTCTTCAATAACACTTTTTAATTCGGTATTTAAATTCGGGTCAGCACTGCCACCATCTTGAATTGCCAATCGGATTTGTCTAGCAATTTTGGAAAATAATGCCGATTTTTGTCCATCTTTGGCTGCTTTGATATGTCTGATATTTGCCCATTTGGAATGACCGGCTAGCAGAGGATATAGATGTGTGGAAATGTCACGTGTTGTACAGCAAGGGCTGTTTGTCCAGTTGATGGGTTGTTGTTTTCTGATCGTTTGTTGGAATACATTATTCCGCAACACATTGAATAAAATATTTCTCATTGTGATGGGTGGTAGTCAGCGATACTAATTCTTAATGAGGTAGCCGAATTCCTAGGGCGAGGTTTATTGATTATTATTGTTTTTATGGAATTCTTTGTTACTTGTCCTTATGTAGAGATTTATTCCATTTATTTTTATATATTAATTGTTAGTTTATTTAATTTATAGTAAATTTATTGTTTTCTAAGAGAATGCCTCCTAGTCGCTACTTTGGTTTATGTAAAAATATAGCAACACAATGTGTTATAGGTTATGTTTATACGGAACAGACGTACACACAACCGTCACAGCTGTTTTCATAATGAACAGATGACCGACAACAGTGTTGTTTTTATTTTGTATGACATCAACAGCCAAAGCAGAGAGCTTTGCCGTATAAAAGAAATTGACGCCGTCGATGTAATACATGGCCGTTATTAACAATTTTAAGGTTATAAATGAAAAATTAATGTTTTATGGTTTATAGAAAAATTCTAAAGCATTGAATGGAATTGAATAAAAAAAAATAAAAAATTTAATGGAATATATCGGAAGTATGAAAAACTTGAATATTACCAATTTTAGATTTGCTGTAAAATTTTATTTCAGGTTATGAATAGATTCCAAAAAATCTGGACTCCAATTCTAGAATTGCTGTAAAATTTTAATTGAGGTTATGTGTAGATTCCAAAACCTTCATCAGGATTCCTTGTACCTATAGACATAAATTGTCTAGCAACTTGAGGACTCTTTTTCTATTAAAATTAATTTTCTGAGACCTTTCAAGGACTCTTTAGCGGACTAAGAACAATTTTTTTACTAGAGTCAATCAATTTTCGCCCCTGAGGGGACCCCTATAGAATGAGCCAAAAAATATCAGCTGTATACCGAGAACTTCTTAAAAAAAAAAACTTTTTTAGTCATAAAGGCCTCCTTTCTGTATAAAAAATATCTTCACTGGAATTTTTGTTCTATATAAAAAATTCCTTTTTCAATAGAAAAAAATTCTTCTATTCCCTTCTGTTAACTTATTTTTCTATAAACAAACTTCTAAAGTACTCCGAGGACTCGTTTAAAAAATCGTCAGATGACTACCTTTTAAATGAAAAAAATCTTCAGCACTCTGTTGACACCCTTTTCTATAAAAAATATTTTATAAAAAATACTTAAACAAGATAATTTTTTTTAGTTTTTAAAAAAATATTATTTTTTAAGGCATATTTATAGGCCTGGATTAGTTTAAAAATTATTTTTCGAGGCATATTTATAGGCGTGGATTTTTTAAGTTTATTTTTCATGGCATATTTATAGGCTTGGATTTGTTAAATATTATTTTTTAAGGCATATTTAGACGCGTTGATTTTTAAAGATTGTTGTTCAAGGCATATTTAGAAGCGTTGATTTTTAAAGATTGTTTTTCAAGGCATATTTATAGGCGTGAACTTTTTATAGAATATTTTTCAATGCATATTTCTAGGCGTGGAATTGTTAAAGATTATTTTTATAGGCGTACTTAGAGGCGTGTAGTTTTTTGAAAGATTATTTTCTAAGACATATGCATTTTTTAAAGATTATTTTTCAAGTCATATTTATAGGCGTGGATTTTTTAAAGATTATTATTATCATGGTATATTTATAGGCTTGGATTTTTTAAAGATTATTATTATCATGGTATATTTATAGGCGTGGATTTTTTAAAGATTATTTTTCAAGACATTTTTATGGTCGTGGGTTTTTTAAAGTTTATTTTCCAAGGCATATTTTTTATAGGCCGTTTTACTTTAAGTTGATATCTCCTCAGATCATTGTATAATAAATAAAAAAGTATAAAAGTTATTCAATATTTGTTTTTATGTTGTTTCATAAATAAAACGAAAAAACTTTTTTTGTGTTAAACCTAACAAACTTATGCATCCATTTGGAATTGTATGTGTTCATCATCAAAATTGTTTTTCAAAAATTCATATTTTATTAAAACACAAAAAATATATTAAAATATTCCCCCTACAACAACAACAAAAACACAAACAAATTAAATAAAAAAACAAAGGTTTGGAAGGACATTAGTGCTGTGGAATATCGTCGTCAGGTATATTTACGACAACGTTCGTATGCCTCGGCACCACCCTCCCATATTGGTATACTCATGACAGAGCATCAAAATGATGCCGATATAAATACCGAAGGTGGTATACGTATATCAACATTATCTGAACCTTTGTGTTATGCCCAACGTTCGACAAGTGAATATTTTGTGAGTTGCCTTATAATATTTATTTTTCAAAATTCTCTCCTCCGTTTTGCATATTTATATAAAAATGGGGAGCAAAACACCGTTTTGGTTCTTTACTTTGATCACCATCGTTTTGTTTTTTTTTCTTACTTCAAATTCCAATGTATTATTTTTTTTGTTCACCCTAATTAAAATGGATTCAAGCACTCACAAAATTACACAGTTTTACACACACACCTCTTTGACACGAATTATTTTATTGACACGAAAATGTTTTTTTTTTAACAAACCCTTTAAAACTATTTTCGATATTTGTACATACTGCCGAATAATATTACGCTCAATATGCGATTATGTGCAAATATCGTTTGAATTATATAAATTAAATGTTGTTGTGTTCTTTTCTATATAAAAATGTACATACACAAATGTGTTGAAAACCTCAAATACAATTGACTACACATTCAAAACTACAACTAATATGTTCATTATTACAAACATATAATTTATAATTGATGTTGTCATTTTCTTCTATTTGAAAAGCAGTTTAAGAAACCTCAAATTAATTTTATTATATATTTATTTTCATTTAAAAAGGAGAGTCAAAAACCACGACCCCAAAAAGATTCATTGACCGATACAGCTGGACCTTCTACCAGTAAGGCAGGAGGAGGAACAGCAACAGGTGGAGGTGAGACGCCAGCGAAAATGCCCACAATGGAACCCAGACAAAAAACCGAAGTCGATAGTGGTGAAATAACTGAAAAGGATACCGAAGAAGGTAACCGGAAATTTGTGATTTTATTTTTCAATCAAAATTAAATTGCGTTTCGTTTTCTTATTTACAGATTTTGAAGCCAATCCCATAATACGTTTAATGGAAGGTTTCTTGGTATCGCTAACCATTCGTCTAAATCGTTTCTCACGCAATTATCGTTATGTCAACAAAATATTGGAGGAGGAAAAGAAGGCACTTAAGGAATCGAATAATCTCTATATGTTCAATGGTCGTTTTAGTGGCCGCAACGCTGCTGCCATATTCAGTTTAATGAAACGTAACATTGCCAGGTATTTTTTTTTATAACGACAAATTTATTTACTTTTATTTCTTTAACAGCAGTAACGTAAATATGAGTTTATAGAAAACCGAAATTTTTTATTTTAAAAACAAATTTGGCTTGTTTTAAAAAATATGTTCAAATTTAATTTGATTTTGAAATTGCATTTTCGTTTTTTTTCTGAATTTAAGCATTGTTTTTTATCTTTATAAGTTATATGTTTTGTTATTTCATTATTATAAGAAAAAAACTATAAGTATTTTGTGATATGATCTCAAGTAAAAAATACGCTAAAAATATTCTTTAAATGATCCACGCCTTGTGTGGATCCCTAAAAATATTCTTTAAATGATCCACGCCTTGTGTGGATCCCTAAAAATATTCTTTAAATGATCCACGCCTTGTGTGGATCCCTAAAAATATTCTTTAAATGATCCACGCCTTGTGTGGATCCCTAAAAATATTCTTTAAATGATCCACGCCTTGTGTGGATCCCTAAAAATATTCTTTAAATGATCCACGCCTTGTGTGGATCCCTAAAAATATTCTTTAAATGATCCACGCCTTGTGTGGATCCCAAAAAATAATCTTTAAATGATCCACGCCTTGTGTGGATCCCTAAAAATATTCTTTAAGTGATCCACGCCTTGTGTGGATCCCTAAAAATATTCTTTAAAGGATCCACGCCTTGTTTGGATCCCTAAAAATATTCTTTAAATGATCCACGCCTTGTGTGGATCCATAAAAAATTATTCTTTAAAAAATCCAAGCCTTGTTTGGATCCCTAAAAAATATTCTTTAAAAAATCAATGCCTTGTTTGGATCCCTAAAAAATATTCTTTAAAAATCCACGCATTGTTTGGATCCCTAAAAAATATTCTTTAAAACATCCACGCCTTGTTTGGATCCCTAAAAAAATATTCTTTAACAAATCCACGTCTTATATGAGTCCCTAAAAATATTCTTTAAAGAATCCACGCCTTGTTTGGATCCCTAAAAAATATTCTTTAAAGAATCCACGCTTTGTTTGGATCCCTAAAAAAATATTCTTTAAAAAATCAATGCCTTATGAAGTTCTGAAAACACAATCTTTTAGAAATTAACACTTTGATAAGCCCTTAAAAAATATTCTTTAAAAAATCAACGCCTTATGAGGTCCTGAAAAAAATATTCTTTAAAAATGCCATTAAAAGGCCCTGAAAATGTATTCCTGAAAAAAATAACACAAAATACTTCTAGTTTTTTTTAATAAATTATTTTTAAAAATTTTGTTAATTTTTTTTCATTTCATATTTATTAATATTGTTTTGTTTCTATTTTCGTTTTTTTCTTCTTCTTTATTTGCATATATTGTTTTGCATCCTCTGTTGTTACCATACATATCTTCTGTTATGCAACCTGTTATTGTTTGCTATCCCCGAAAAAAAACATGAATGCAACCACCTATCACCAACAACATACAAACAACTACAACAACGACAAAAAACCAAATCAAAACAAAAATCAACAATAATACCACAAATATTCACCAAATGTATAAAAAATACTACCATAATTTTTATTAATTTTATATATATTTATTTCATTGTTATTGTTTTTTTATATAAAAAATATTGAATGTTATGGTTTTTTGTTAATATTATAATTATTCATATTTTAATATTTTTTTGTTATTTTGTATTTGATTGTTATTAAAAAAACCAAACATATTTGCTAGTAGTGATGAACATGAAGATGCTACACGTCCTATTGCTAGTACCCCAACATCATCGAAGAGGAATTCTTCTAACAGTGCACCATTCTCCACCACAAATCCACAACAACCACACAATGATTATAATAATATGCAACAATCACCACAACCACCATCACAAATACCACCACTCATTAACATATCAACAACATCACAACCACCCCAACAACAACAACAATATAATGATGATATCAATGCCATTGAACCATCATCATCGTATGATGTCGTTGATAGGTAAACTTAACCAAAACCAAATAATCAATTAAATTTAGTTAATAGTCGGTTTGTGCCGATCCATGTTTATACCCTATACTACTATATATATTCTAGCTACTAAACTCCCTTTTAATTCTTGACATTTTTACATACCATAGATGGACTTTTAAATTTATGAATTTATGATATTTTAAATTTATTAATTTCCGTTACCCGTAGAATATTTTCGTATTGATAACTAATCTTATACACCTTCCGATTTTAAACAACTTTAAGAATCTGAAATGTATATACATTGATGTTAGATTCAAATTAGCAATTCCAGTTTTAGTGACAAAAAAGGTCACCGACAATTTTGAGACACACAAAAGCTTAGAATAAGTTTGAAGGGCCCGATTTTGAAATTTGAATTCTTCAAGTATTTCAAGCGAGTGCGTTTGGGTGAGTATCTCAACCGAATTGACCGTAATTAGGCATTTTATATTAATGAATAGAATACATCTTCACAAGGAATTTCCGAATCAATTTGGGGTTTAGCATAGTTTCCAATACCATGCCATTTTCGACATTTTGGGGGGTTTTTATGCCCTCCATCATGAATTTTAGTGTATATTAAATACCGTTTGTAACATAGGGGTTTCAGAGACGGCAATTGAAATTTCAGCTACGTTACATTAGGTAGGTTAGAGATAGAGATAATAAATTCTGTTCTCAGTCGACTATGCATGCCCGTCCGCCGGTATAGAACGCATTTATTATCCGAATTGGATGAAATTTGGCACAGCTCATCTATTTGGCCCAAGGACAAATCATATTGCAATTGGGAAAAATCGATTCAGATTTAGATATAGCTCCCATATATATTTTCCGATTTAATGTAAATGAAGCACCAAAGTCCCTATATATCTTTCGATTGGCATAATATTTAGCATAGTATACTGAATTAACTCTAGGATGATGTGTATTAAGTTTCGTGAAAATCGGTTCATATTTTTGATATATCTCCCATATATATATTCGTCCGATTTAATGTAAATGGTGCGCCAAAGTCCACAAATATCTTTCGATTGGCATAAAATTAAGCATAGCGTTCTGAATATAGAACTGAGTCTAGAACTATATGTGTTAAATTTCGTAAAAATCGGTTCAGATTTGGATATAGCTTCATTTATTTTTTCATCAGATTTAAGGTAAAGAGCATATCAAAGTCGCTATATATCTTTCGATTGGCATAACATTTGGCATAGCGTACTGAATTGAGACTAGAATGATGTGTGTTAAGTTTCGTGACAATCGGTTCAAATTTAGACGCCACATAAAGACTCGACTCCCTTTGGGTATTTTGAAGCAAATTTAACATTTCAGTTGCAAAGCCACCATTCGTAAGTGACATTAATTTAGCATTCCAGTATTATATTATATTTGAAACATTTGTCTGTCAACACTTGTAGTGGTATTGGGTATAAACATATTTTTTATTTAATTTTAAATATAAAAATATTTATATTGTTATTTCTCTGTAGTCTTTCAAGTAGTTATGTATCTTTCGTTTTGTTTTTCTTAGCTGCTAAAAAGTAATTAATTTTCTGAAAAAAATGATTCAATTTTATTTTAACAAACTTTTTGCAGAATATTATCAATTATGTTTATTATTCAAAAAGAGAAGAATTTTATCTTCTCTCGAAAAAAACTACACACAAAATTTTTATGCATATTTTCATAATTAACATTTTTTGTATTATAGCAAAGAGACACTATCGGAACCGAATAGTAGCAATAAACTTGTACGACCAAAGGGGTAAGTTTTACACACATGCATTTCCTTCTTTTTTTCTTTTGTTCATTTTCGTTTTGTTTATCATTTTATATGCTAGTAATGTCATTTATGTTTAAAAAATAATAATAAATAAAAAAATCATTATTTTATTTTATTATTTTTAATTAATATTTTTAAAATAATATATTTATTAAATAAAATATATACTTGGAGCCAAGTGTAATAATGCTGTCAGAATTTGTGCAAATGAAACATATAGATTTGTTACAACGCTGCTATGGAAATTCAATAAATAGAAAGTAATATACATATATTTCCAATACTTCGTATTCAAAAATTGTCGACGACTCAAAAATAGAAATCCAAACATGTCAGCTACCGGATAATTCAAAATGCACTACTAATTTATATAGAAACAAAAAAATCTAAAATCTAATAGAAGTGTTTCTGGAATCCTCTTGCTATTGAGGGCTTCCCTAAGGAACTTCTATTCATACACGACCAAGAGATAGTATTTCGTTCAAAGAAAATGCATGGAAGGTACTTACTTAGAACATTTATTCCATAAGCCGAACTTAAACCAGTAAGGAAAGATGAAAAGTCGGGTGGAACTATATACCCTTGGGAGTTTTGTGCACCATTTACAGAAATTGGACGAAACTATGAGAGCTATAGACTCAATTCAGTAGGCTATGCCAAATTTCATGCAAATCGAAAGATATACAAGAACATTGGTAAACCATTTACCTTAAATCGGAGGAAAATGTATATGGAAGCTATATCTAAATCTGAATAGATTATCATAAAACTTAACACACATCATTCTAGACTCAATTCAGTACGCTATGCCAAATTTCGTGCAAATCGAAAGACATATAGAGACTTTGTGGCACCATTTACCTTAAATCGGAGGAAACTATATATGGGAGTTATATCTAAATCTGAACCGATTTCAACACAATTTCGCACACTTCATTCTAGACTCAATTTAGTAGGCTATTCCCAATTTCGTGCAAATCGAAAGATATATAGACTAAAGACTTTGGTGCACCATTTACGTTAAATCGGACGAAAATATATTTGCGAATCTCAACCAATTTTTCCTAATTTCAATACGGTTCGTCCTTGGGCCAAATAAGTGACTTCTGCCAAATTTCATCCAAATCGAATCATAAATGCGCCCTGTATTTTGTTTACAAAATTAACATCAACAGACGGACGGACGGACATGCATAAATCGGCTCAGAAAGTGATTCAAGGCATATTCTCAAAGGTACGGGATAGACACCTTTTGGCTGTTACAAACATATGGTGAAGGGTATAAAAATTCTAAGGTCCTATATGAAAAGCTTTTAGCAAATAGATGAGGTCCTAGAATCCTCTTGCAATTAATTGAAAACTTCCTTACGAAACTTCTATGCATAGACGATCAAGAAAATTTATGGAATCTTCTCATCTATATAAAAAACCTCTAAAGAGCAATCTATATAATTCATATAGAACGTTTTCTATCTATAGACGATCGTCTGGAGCTCTTCATTCTATGGACGTCCTACTGGAGGTCTTCTATCTATCATCTAGAAGTCTTCTAACAGCAAAAGTTCTGTAGGTGTTGTTCTACCTGTAGAAATTCTTAAGGTGGTGTTCAGTCTATACAAGACCTATAGAGGTTATTCTATGTATAGATAGGCCTTCCATCTGTAAAATATATATTGAATTTCTTCCATTTTCCAGAAGATTTTATACCCAAAAGAAGATTTTCAAAATGGCTTGTTTTGCATCCAAACAAAAATCCGCTTTGACCTTGGCTCCAAGTCTTTCATATATTTATTTTTTTATATTCCCCCTCTCTCGTTTTGCTTTATCTACTGTACAGTAATAATTGTGTACAAACATAAAAAATAAATATTTTAATAATAATCATTTAAAAAAAATATATCCCATATTGAACAAAATACATCCTTAACCATATTTGTTTTGTATCCTCAAATGATTGCGATTGGTGTTTTATTGTAAAATCAAAAAAAAATTAAAACGCTTTTGGCTTTGTGTTCGTTATCTTGAATTTGTTTGCGAACCAAAAAAACACACATTTGAAAACAAAAATCTGTATAGGCGTAAATCCGAGCCTTTACCCGAAATACGCATAAAGGCTCCATCGTTCGATCGTAGTCGCCGTGGCTCAGTTGCTCTAATTACAAATCAGTGGGCTCAAGAGAAAGTTACCAGGTAGCTTAGTAATTCCTTTTCTTTCCATAACTCAAACAAAAATCATTATTCATATTTTTAATCTTTTGTTATTTAAAATTAGTATAAAATCTTGTTTGTAAATTGTTTATTTTTTACGTTTTGAATGATTTTTTCTGTTTTACACCCACCACCAATCAATCAATAAGGTGGTCCATAGTCCCATGAAGGTGTTCATTATCACATTTCGCTTGTTTTGATATTGTCCTCATTTTTCAATACTCCTCAAATGAAGACAATTCCGTATTGAAACAGCACCCCCCTCATAGCCACCTTCATGGACTCTACACCCTTAGATGATAGTTTCGTCACAGAGTTTTATTTTTTTCCTTTGGCTAGAAAAAGATTTATCTCGTCACACCGTATGTCATATGTTGTTTTGCCTCCTAATTCATATTTCAGATAACTTGAAAGAAAAAAAAATAATAACAATAAAAAACAAGCAACTCCTTTAAATCTAATGGCTTGCCTTGAATTTTTTAATTATTATTTTTTTAATTAATTTTTCGTAATGATTTTTGGTATTGTAAGTTTAATTCTATTATGAAAATGGATAATTTTTTTCTTCTTGATTGTAGCATGTTTCGTTTTGATAATTGTATGTAGAATATTTGCAATGTATTTAAAATTTTATTAAATATTCAAGGGAAAAATAGAAAAAAAAGCGTGAAGTGTCTCCAAAGTCAGCCGGAGTTTTGGCTTACATTGTCCTATTTTGTAAAAACCTAAAACCTATTTATAAACATTAGATCCCCACGAGGCTCCTTCCTTCGAAAGATCCTCCATTGTGAATTATCTTCTGTAAATTGGTCTCTATGGAAACCAAAAGACTTTATAAATACCAATTGGTCTATATAGAGACCACAGGTCTTTATAAAGACCAATTGGTCAATATAGAGACAACGGGTCTTTATAAAGACCAATTGGTCTATATAGAGCCCACGTCTTTATAAAGACCAATTAGTCTGTACAGAGACCGCAGGTGTTTATAAAGACCAATTGGTCTATATAGACACTACAGGTCTTTATAAAGACCAAATGGTCTATTTAGAGACCACAGGTCTTTATAAAGACCAATTGGTCTATATAGAGACCACAGGTCTTTATAAAGACCAATTGGTCTGTATAGATACCACATGTCTTTATAAAGACCAATTGGTCTATATAGAGACCACAGAGACAATTTCAGTACTGCCCGCTAGGCCACGCTTGACTGCAAAAGTAAACCAAGGCCAGCTGCAGTTTTTTAATTTTAAATTATTTTTAATAAAACAATATATTTTCCAGATACTACTCAAATGGCCATCAACTAGGCCTTTATTAACAAATCTCCGAAGTCATTGTTTTGCATCTTGGAAAATCCCCAAGTCCTTCCCTTTCTTTTTTATATTATTTAAAAAAAAATTGAAAAAAAATGTATTTGATGTAGAAAATATATACTCCTTAACTACTTCCCTATGTTCTACAATACTTTTTTTCTACATATATTCGTTTTTTATTTATGGATGTACTTCAAATATCTACTTTGATGTCTTAATAATAATTATCAATAATTTTTTCTTTATTATCTACCAGTAGAATGTTTATTAAAAAACGATTTAAAATTTAATTCTTCTTAATAGTAAAATACCTCCTCTTCTCCTCTCTTTACCCCCATTACAGCACTGAACTTGCCTTTGATGAAGATGATTTTACGGCACGCGATCACAATATTATTGTAGAAGTTTTAATATCGGCCTGGTATGCCATCTTATCGAACACGGACTTAATTTGTTACATTGTGGTGTTCATTAATCAGGTAAGTTTAAATCCTCCGATTTTAATATTTTTTATTTTATTCGAAAAAAATCTCTTATATGTTTTTTTTGCAGATTGTCAATGCCAGTTTAATATCCCTGCCCTTGCCATTGATGATATTCCTTTGGGGCACCTTGTCGCTGCCACGTCCCACAAAAACATTTTGGGTTACGCTGATTGCATACACTCAGGCCATTGTACTTATTAAATGTATATTCCAATTCAAATTGATTTGGACCAATTATCATTATAATTTACCCAATAATCCATTGGGTATTGAAAAATTATTTGGCGTTGAAATGATACCCGATTATGCTACATATGATTTGCTGCTGCTGTTGGTATTATTCTTCCATAGGTAGGTTAGATAAGCAATGAAAAAGAAACTCTTTACGGGGTATATACTTTCGAATGTCCATAAGTCGAAGGATCATTATTATCCCGAAACAAACTACGAGCACTTTGAGTTATGGAATTAATTATGGTTTGCCTCCTTAGTGGTGCTACATGTGTTTCGATTTAAAAACTTATGGAAGCTCGACTGTATATCAATTTGGTTCCTCGATAATATTTAATAATATTGACTTTGGATTTTGTTTTACTATTCTCAATATGAGTCCGAAAGGATTTCTTATACCAATTTGGTCATACAAATCATATGTTTATTTTATTTTTTCATAATGCTAATATTTTATCTTGTTTCTTTATTACAGATTTATTTTGAAATCTCATGGCTTATGGAAAATCGATAACTATAAGACTGCCATGTTCCAAAGTGAAGCTGACGATGAGGATCGCAATAGTCTGTAAGTATCAATAATTTATGAGTAAGCTTAACTATAATTAAATTACAAAATTTCAGAATAGGTATGTTTTTTTAATTCCGTATGCAAATTAATAATTAAATACAAATCCATTCAAATCTAAAAGTTCAATTGAAGAAGGCAATTAAATCAATCAATGCTAGAAGAAATTGGAAAAAACAAATAAGCAAAATACAAAAAAGAATTAAAATTTTAAGAAAATTTCAAATGAAAAAATCGAAAACAAAAGAAACGCAAGCAAATACCATTCAGAGGTATTCAAAATAATTATAATAAATTAAAATTATAACTTTATTTAAAAAGTATTTGAAATATAAAGTAATTTATTTTTATTTACAGCAATGCCTCCAATGCCGATTGTGCTGAACTAAACTCAAACAGTGATCGTCGGCGTTCGAATGGCTCGGAGGATTATGCTTCGGGCAGTCGGGGTAGTATTTCTGCCACCAATGAATTGGTTAAGCGGGTTGAAAGTTTCCAACGTCATAAATATCTGTGTGGCCTATCGAAATTCTTCCATAATCTAATGCATAAGGCCCGTTTGCCAACCGATGTCTATGCCTTGATGTTCTTATGTGATTTCATTAATTTCTTTGTACTTTTATTTGGATTTACAGCATTTAGTGTAAGTATTCAAAAAAAAAAAAAAAAAAATGTTTGCCCACTTTATAACCAAATATTATTATTTTAGTCAAAACTCTCTGATGGTGGTGTAAAAACCTATTTGGCCGAGAACAAAGTTCCAGTGCCGTTCCTTATTATGTTGTTGGTTCAATTCATATTGATTGTTATCGATCGTGCTTTGTATTTACGCAAAGCGTTGGTCTTCAAAATTGCCTTCCATTTTATATCGGTGGTTGGTATACACATATGGATGTTCTTTGTGGTGCCCGCGGTAACGGAACGTAGCTTCTATGCCTCAGCGCCACCAATAATATTCTACATCATCAAATGTTTCTATTTACTGCTGTCAAGTTATCAAATCAAATGTGGTTATCCCACGCGTATTTTGGGTAATTTCCTAACGAAGAGTTTCTCAATGATCAATATGATTTCGTTTAAAATGTAAGTATAAATATAATTAATATACAATATTTTTTATATAGATTTTATCATTTATATTTGTCTCTAAAAATATTCTTTAAAAAGTCCCTAAAAAATCCACGCCTTGTATGAGTGCCTAAAAAGTCCACGCCTTGTATGAGTCCCTAAAAAATCTAGACCTTGTATGAGTCCCTAAAAAGTCCACGCCTTGTATGAGTCCCTAAAAGGTCTATGCCTTGTATGAGTCCCTAAAAAATCTAGGCCTTGTATGAGTCCCTAAAAAGCCCACGCCTTGTATGAGTTCCTAAAAAATCCACGCCTTATATGAGTCTATAAAAAATCCACGCCTTGTATGAGTCCCTAAAAAATCCACGCCTTGTATGAGTCCCTAAAAAATCCACGCCTTGTTTGAGTCCCTAAAAATATATTTTTTAAAAAATCCACTCCTTGTATCAGTCCCAAAAAATCCACGCCTTGTATGAGTCCCTAGAAAATCCACACCTTGTTTGAGTCCGTAAAAAAAATGCTTTAAAACATCCACTATTTGTATGAGTCATTAAAAAATATTGTTTCAAATATCCACTACTTGTGTGAGCCCTTAAAAAATATTCTTTAAAAATCCACGCCCTGTATGAGGCCCTGAAAAAATATTCTTTTAAAATCCACTCCTTATATGAGTCCCCAAAAAAATATTCTTAAAATAATCCATGCCTTGCAGGAGTCCCTGAAAAAATATTCTTTAAAAAATCCACGTCTTGTATGATTCCCTAAAAATATTTTTTAAAAAATCCACGCCTTGTCGTGTTTTTGAAAAATATTCTATAATGCATTTTAGAAATCCACACCTGGTTGGACCCCAAAAATTTTTAAATATTTGAGTAACATTATTTTTATTTTTTATATATAGTTACATGGTCATCCCCTTCTTGTATGAATTGCGAACAATTCTGGATTGGTTGTGCACCGATACCACAATGACTTTGTTCGATTGGTTGAAAATGGAGGATATTTTTGCAAATATCTATTCGATAAAATGTCTACGTCAAATGGAAACCGATTTCCCAGCTGTTCGTGCCCAAAAGAAGGCCGCCTTTATGAAGTTATTAATGGGTGGTGCTGTCATTCTATTTATTGTATTCCTTATATGGGGTCCCCTTACCCTGTTTGCCCTTTTCAATGCTGTCGGTCAATCGAATGTTCCAACAGAGGTGAAAGTTTCGTTGAGAATTAGTTCATACGAACCGATTTATGTTACCAGTACCCGAGAAAGTACCTATGTTTTTAACGATGAAATGTTTTCGCAAATGAAAAATGCCTACATAAAGGAACGCGAGGCATTGTCATTCTTATTGAACTATGATGCGTCAGATATTGCCGCAATTAAATTGAGTGGTAATTCTCCGACAATGTGGAATATTGCACCACCTGATAAGATGCGTTTGCTGGGTGAATTGAATAGCAGTGAGTATTTGACAAACAATCTGAAACATAAAAATTGTATTTGAATTTAATTTTCCAATTTTCTTTCGATTTCCAGATGCCACATTAACGGTACGTTTGGCCTATGAACTGACACGTACACCACCCACAAAAGGCCAAACGGGTACTGTTGGCTCCGAAATCACCTTTCAAATGAATGATACATATGCGTATCGAGACATTCTGAAGGCCATGATAACCGGAGGATCCAATGACAACAATTCCACCAATAATGGAACATTACTGGAGGCCATTATACCAAATATTGTACCGAAATTTATTAAAGTTCTCAATTCAGCTGATCCAATGTATGTCTCAGCCTTGCTGGTGAATACCAATAACAGTAAGTTGAAAAGGATATATTTCAATGGCGAATTAAAAAATAAAAAATTTGTAATTTGTTTCCTTTCTAGACTTCCGCGATTTGGGTATTAAGGTCCACACAAACAATTACAGCTTCCAGTGGTGGGAAATTGCAGATCATTGTGATGAAAGTCATAATAATGTTGGTGGTTCTGGTAGCAGCAGTAGTAGCAGTAATGCTGCTGCTGATGATGACGATGATGATGGCATCGATAAGGCCACAGAAATATTGAAAAAATTACCATTATATGATTGCAATTCGGGTATTGTTTTCTACACCTTTAACGATAAGAAATTCCCCTCAACATGGACCTTTATTACAGCGGGAGGGTAAGTATTTTTAATTCTGGTGTATAATAAATTTATTTATAAAATGTTTTTATATTTTACAGCATCATCGGTATCTACACCACATTTGTTTTAGTGGTCTCGAGATTTTTGAAGGGCTTCTTGGGTGGCCAGACTCGTAAAATTATGTATGAAGATTTGCCCAATGTCGATAGAGTGTTGCAATTGTGCCTTGATATTTATTTGGTAAGTTGAGACTTTTTCAAAGGTTAAATGTGAAACAATTGAAAAAAATCCCCGCCTTGTAATGGCAAAAAAAAAATAATCTTTAAAAAATCCACGTCTTGCATTGATGGCCAAAAAAATATTCTTTCAAAAATCACTCACAAATTAAAAAAATATATATTTTTTTATTAATTTTCTCTTCCAATTTTTTTCTTCAAATCCCTTACAGGTAAGAGAAGCTTTAGAGTTTATGCTCGAAGAAGATCTATTTGCCAAATTGCTCTTCCTATACCGTTCACCGGAGACCATGATTAAATGGACAAGACCGCGTGAAGAAATTGCCGACGATGAAACGGATACAGATTCAGTGCGTAGCAGAGCCAGTGGGAGAAGAGAACATCAACAACAACAATAATTTAATTCTACTCCTGCTGTTGTTGCAACAACAACAACAATAATTTGAATCTGTACACAAAAAACAAAGTGACTGGATATTAAGTTAAAAAATAGATATATATATTTGAGGTTTATTATATGTTTGTATACTCCTTCCTCATACAAAAACAATTTTTTACATACAGATATTATTTCAAAAAATGAGAACCCTAAGAAAAGAAAAAAATAATTAAATCGAAGAAGAAAAACTGCCGACCATTTTTTAAAAAAACAAAAAAAAACTTTGTTCTAAGTCTTTTTTTAAATAGTTGAAAATATTTAATGTTTATTTTTGTTTTCAATTCTGTAGAAAATATTAAGCTAAAAATTTTTTATATATACATAAATATTAATTCATGCGTGTAGTGAAAATGTTTTTTTTTTTAATTTACTCGGTGCTACAAAACAGAAAAACAATCTATACTTCGAATGTAAAAAAGTTCATAATGCTAATATTTATTTGAGATAATTAATTAACTTAAAAGGAAGGCATATTTCTACAAATTATTGATATTATGTAATAAATATTAAATTAAATCTTTCTTCTCTATATAACCTCACTTTTAAAGCGAGATGGTTTTTCGATTTTTCTTTTTCAAAAAATAACTGCATTATGAACTGGGTATTACGTTAAGGGAAGTATATTTGATTTTTTTCCGTAACACCTTGTTGTTTTCTATTTGTCTGCAAATATTCGAATGCCATCATAATTATTATTGTTTTTTCTTCTCATCTAACCTCAAACAAAACAAATTTTTGTATTTTTTATTTTATTTTAATACATAAAATATATCGAATCATATATAACAAAATCGAAAGAATATTGTAAACAAAACCAACACCATAATAATTATATAAATGTAATAAAAATGTGAACTCATATTCAGGGATTTTTAAGCATTTTTTTGATACAAAAAAGTTAAATAAAGAAAAATAAAACCATAAAAAACCTAATAAACAAAATGTTTATATGTATTGAAAACAATATGATATTGTATATATGTTTACAAATAAGTTTATCCAAGAAGAAAAAAACCGTAAACAAAGTGTGTTATAGTGAGGCAATAACTTTTTTTATTTTGAAATTTTCAGTTTTGGAAAAAATTTCAGTCAGAATTTTCGGCAAATTTAAAAAAATGTACGAAAATTATATTTAGCTGAAGTTGAACGAATATGTGACATTTCATATGGAATTTGCAATGTAGAATCTCTTTATTCAAAGAAATGTGATAACATGACCCACTGCACTTTGACAAAGCTACATACACAGCTAAATTTAGCACCTTATCTCCTGATACAAATTTTCTCCTCCCGTAATGGTAAGGCATATAATATTTTTATCCCCTGTTATTACATTTTTTCAAATAATAATTTTTTTGCAGTAGTAATTTTATGAAACCCCGATTGGCATTCCCGTTAATATTGCTGTTTATTTTGCGCCCGAAGATTTCAAGTTTCTAAATGTTGAAAAATGCAAATTTCTGTATTGAAAGACTGATGAAATATACTGCTCAGGCATAACTCAGTTAATCCTATAATTGGCGATCACCAGCCAGGTAAATTCATCAAAAAATTTTAAATATAAATCATCTATATAAAAAAAAACAGTGAGCGGAGCAGTATAGTCGGACGGGGCCGACCATACGATACCCTACACAACTACCACGAACTCTAACTTTCTGAGGATGTTTATTCCGAGAACTTTCTGAGGATGTTTATTCTGAGTCTGAGTAATATTTCCTGATATTTGCCCCCTCTTGTACAGTCCTTCTAATTACTTGTCCAGATTACCTTCACGGTGGGTGTGTTGTGATTTTCGGATTATACTCTACTCGAAAACACACAAAAAATTATGTTTTCGGTCCATTTCATCCCAAAATTTTAATGTGATCATCACTGAAAATTGTAGGCGTTGTTTTTTGACCATAACTGGAACTTCATGAAATATTCCAAAGTCATCAGCGCGATATTTCACCCTCTAACGTGGTAATGGGTTATTAAATAATATCTGAATACGTAAGCACCTGTAAATATTTGACTGTAACTCCCACATCTGAGTAGATACATCACTATATTTGGTATCAATTTAAAGGCCAACCACTCCTCTTGGATATGCTATCAACTCCTGGGGTCTACATCCTCCAGGAGTAAATATATATGCCATAGAATACAAATTTTGTCATTTTTCACACAAAAGTCAGGGTCCATTTGACCCGCTAAATATTGACCGATCTTTATCAAAACATGCATGCTTATCTCTGGCCCGATCCCCTTCTTCATGCAAAAATTCGCGGTGTTTGGGCCATAATTGCGGCCTCTGAAGCGACCAGAAAAACCGACAAAAATAATGTTTTTGGTCCATTTCATCCCCTAAATATTAACCGATCTTTTCCAAAAACAATAGGGGTCTTCATTGGCCAGAACCCATCCTACATGCAAAATTTCGTGAAGATTGGTCCATAACTGTGGCCTGTATCGTGTTTACAAATTATAATATTCAGACGGACGGACGGACGGACACACATGTCTATATCGACTCAGCTAGTCGAATATGACGATTATACTTAAAGGTGGGTCTAGGACCAATATTTCGCGGCGTTACAAACATTTGGGGCTGCACAAAGCTATAATACCCTGACAACATAGTTGTGTAGGGTATAAAAACTGTGTTCCCGATATTGTGAATATTTTATATGAACATTTTGAGATATTTTGAATATCGATTTATTTCAGTTTTAAATTTAAGTCGATTTAAGCAAGTCCGACTGTCTGTCTCTCTCTCTATTTATACCCTTATGGATAATGAGGTCAAAAATGTGTCATATCACAATAATCGGTTTCAGACAATTTGGATTTGATTTTCAAATGCCCAACTTTTTGTTTGTCTCGGGGCTGTGGCTCACAATAACTCTCGAAGGGAGTAACCAATTCCCAGCAACCTTGCACATCGTAATATTTCTTCCAAACTTAATAAATAAAAAAGTTCGAAACCCATCGGAATATCAGTCAACTCTGTCTGGTACTTACTTACTTCTCTGGCTTGTGACAGAACTTTCGTTCCATACGGCGAGCTTATTCGTGGCCTTCCCCTTCAACGTGAACCATCAGCTGAGCCCTTTTAGCACCTTGTGTACCCTTTTAGATATGCAGAACATATATATATATATATATATTTTTGGTAAGACAATGTAATAAATGACAAAATTGAAAAAATAAATACATATATAATAATTTAAAAATATTTTTTTTTCATCCAACCCTTCCTCAATAGTTTTATAAGTTTTCGTCCCGTCCATTTTGAGATTTTTTTTTCTAGACGGAAACGCAAGTTTGAAATCGTTCATAATACCTACTTTTTTCTTTGAGAATTGCTTTTCCCTGGAGATCTTTCGTTCATAATAGAAGGAAAATTAAAGGAGAAAAAAATCCTTACGGACTGAGTGTTAGTTCGAGCTTCTACATTTGAAAATGTTTAATTATTATCTATGTGAACTGATTCATGACAAAGTGTATGTAGTTTTTTCTTTAATTCTTGTATGTCTGCAACTCACTATAATACACTTTGTCAGCTTTGTTTAGATGTTTTTTGGTTGATATCAATACAATTATTTGTGATTTTTTATATTACTATTTTTTTAATTGTTTTTTGTTTTCATCTAAATAGCGCAACAGTTGTAATATTTTATAAATTATCTATAAAAAATAATACTAGAAACAAACTTACATGTATAACTGGATTTAAACAACAACAAAAATGAAATCTCCTAAATAAATTAAAAAAACTACCTATCTATCCATCTGTTGAATGTAACAATAATTTACAAAAAAATCAAAAATATATATAACAATTTTTTATACAATACTGTATTCTCGCTTCCATTAAATCCACCACCACCACAACCACCTAACAAAACAAAAAAATAACAGTAGGATCAAAATACATTTACTATACTATAGAGCAGCTTCAGAAATTAAAAAAACAATATATATTACAATATTTTGTTTTAATTTTTTCAAAATTATGAGTGGATTTCTTCCTTCCTCTATTCATGTTTATTTTTTTTTTTCAAAATGCAATTTTTATTATTTATTTATTTTTTTTTTATTTTCTCTAATTTTTAAATTATTTTCATTTGTTTTCGCCCGTAAACATTTCCATTTTTTGTTAGTAAAATTTGTTTCAGTCAACTAATAATCTAGCCAAAATATTTATTAAAAACAATGCCTTAAATGTTGTAATTTATTAAAAATAAATGATAAACACAAATTAATGAATGATACAATAATATATACAAAACTAAAAAGAAAAAAAAAATAATTAAAAGAAAATAATTGAACGTACCACATAAAATATTCGTTACAAAATCATAATATTTTACTTTAGCTAATTAAAAACAAAAATTTGCATACAGTATGAGCTCGATTGAAACTATGCAGCAAAATATAGACTAAATATGTCCTATTGTATACGGAAGACCATTAAAAGATTTTAAAATTTATATACGCTGTCTATAAGTTATTTCGGCATTTAGAAAATCTTCTTCGCCCAGAAACCGAACGAATATTCATATTTTCCACAGAAGACCACTAAAAAATTTTAAACTGACTATAAGGTATTTATAAATTCTTGTCTACAATAACATCAGAAATGCTTGTGACAGCTCCATTTTTCAAGAATCCAGTAGGAAAATGTAATCGATAGTAAACAATTTTGTTAATGCAGAGTCACTTTATCCAGAAACCAAACGAATATCGCCTATTTTCTACAGAAGACCACTAAAAATTTGAAACTGACTATAAGGTCTTTATAAAATCTTATTTCCCCAGAAACCCGAATTAAAAAATCCAAATGCTTTCTACAGTAACCTCAGAAATGCTTTTGACAGCTCAATTCTTCAAGAACCCAGTGGGAGAATGTAATCGAATTTGTTAATGCAGAGCTACTTTACCCAGAAACATGAATATCACCTAATTTCGATA